TTGATGGATTCATTTCAATTGGTGCAGCTCAAGGATGTGGACAAGATCCTTGAAGAGGTGAGAGTGAGCACATAGATCCTAGACCTCTGCCCATCCTGGCTGATAAAGAAAGCCAGAGGGAGATTGGCAGGGTGGGTGAAGATGGTGGTTAACACTTCCTTAGAGGAAGGCAAGATTCCAGCCAGCTTAAAAGAAGCTGGAATAAAACCGCTGTTGAAAAAAAACATCATTGGACCCTATCTAGGCATTATGTTCTCTTCATCTGGTGCTTGGACTAACCACATTACTCATAGTATACAAAGAGCAATGAAAGCAGCAGGTTCCATTAAAAAGCTGTACCATCATAGATACCCAGGCACAATCAGACCTGCCCTGGAAGTCTTTAAGACAAAAATAATGCCAACACTTATATTTGGGGCCGAAATTTGGGGGCACATCAATTTGGCCAAGATCGAAGCCTTCCAAGTTAAGCAGCTTCCCACCATCCTGGGCCTTTCCAGAACAATGCTGATGGCGGCAGTAAGGATGGAGCTAGGAATGCCCCCAGTAAAAGCTCAAATCTTAATGAGACAGTTTAATTATTGGTCAAAAGTAAACTGTCTGAATCCCAGTAGACTTCCTCACCTATGTCTAGAGCAGTGGTTCTCAACCTGTGGGTTCCCAGATGTTTTGGCCTTCAACTCCCAGCAATCCTAACAGCTGGTAAACTGGCTGGGATTTCTGGGAGTTGTAGGTCAAAACACCTGGGGACCCACAGGTTGAGAACCACTGGTCTAGAGGATCAAGTCCAGCATGACCTAAAGTCATCATGGATAGTGGATCTAAATAATGAGTTGGCTAAAATTGACCTGCCTCTACAATTTCTGAACGATCTAGGTCCTAAGCAAAACAAGTGTTCATGTAACGCACTTGAGATATCTATGCTCAGCTGGACCTCACAAGCATAGGTAGGTCTTCTGCTACAAGGTTTTTGGCTTCCCACAAAGGGAATATTCATTTAGAACACTATCTAACTACTCCACTTCCACTACCCTTAAGAAGAATATATACTAGGGCTAGCTTTGAACAACTTGGTATTATGATGCAAACTGGGTGTTACTGTAGCATCCCAAGAATTAAGAGATTCTGCATATGGGGAGAACAAACTGTGGAAGATATTGAACATTTCTTAATTGACTGTCCAGCATATACTGAATTGCGAGACAGATATTTACATCCAATATAATCCAACTGCAGGTCCCCCAATAGAAATGATCTTCTGACATCCCTCTTGCAAGGACAGGAAAGATCCACCATAATCAGAGTAAGCCTTTTTATTCTGAAAGCTATCAAGAAAAGAGCAGATTTCCTGAAAGAAGAACCAGGAAAATAAGACTCTGACTGTAAACAGAAGGTCAGCTGCTGTCCTCACCTTTTTGCCTGTGTTGTATTTTGAAATTGTCACATGACTGGTCAAATAAATAAATAATTATTGGACCCCACCCAATTGAATAACTTTTGGCCAGTTTCCAATCTCCCCTTTTTGGGCAACATGTGGTTGCCTCCCAACTTCAGGTGTTCTTGGAAGACACTGATTATCTAGACCGGGCACAGACTTGCTTGGACATGGTACCGAAACAGCCTTCGTCGCCTTAGATTATCTATGCTGGGAGCTGGACAGGGGAGTGTGTGCCTGCTGGACCTCTCAGCAGCCTTAGATACCGTTGACCACGGTATCCTTCTGGAACGTTGCTGGGGAACACCTGCTTGACCTCACAATCATTGACTTCTGGAGTCTTGCAGTGATCAGTATTGTCCCCTATGTTGTTTAACATTTACATAAAGCCACTGGGAGAGATTATCCGGAGTTTTGGAGTGAGTTGTCATTTGTACGCAGATAATGTTCATCTCTATCACTCCTTCCCATCTGTTACTAAAGAGGTGTTCAGGTCCTGAACTGGTGCTTGGCAGGTGTAACAGTCTAGATGAGGACGAACAAATTGAAATTGAATCCAGACAAGACAGAGGTCCTCCTGGTCAGTTGCAAGGCCAAGCACAGGCATAGAATTACAGCCTGTGCTGGACGAGGACACACTCCCCTTGAAGACACAGGATCGCAACTTGGTAGTGATCCTGGATTCACCGCTGAGCTTGGAACCCCATGTCTCGGTGGTAGCTAGGGGAGCTTTTGCACAATTAAAACTTGTGCGCCACGCTGGTCCACACTCTCTGCCATGCTGGCCCACACTCTCATTACATCCTGAATAGATTACTGCAATGCACTCTATGTGGGGTTGCCTTTGAAGACTGTTCAGAAGCTCCAACTACTTCAATGGATGGCAGCCTGGTTGCTCCCCGGAGTGGCATACAGAGAGCACACAACCCATCTGCTACGCCAGTTCTACTGGTTGCTAATCTGCTACCGAGCACAATTCAAAGTGCTGGCTTTAGCCTATAAAGCTTTGAACAGTTCTGGCCCAGCTTACCTGTCTGAACATATTTCCTGCTATGAACTATCGTGAAGTCTAAGATTGATGGGAGAATCTCTGCTGTCGGTCTCACCATCCTCACAAGCGCGACTGGTGGAGATGAGAGACAGGGTCTTCTCAGTGGTGGCCCCTCGTCCATGGAACTCTCTACCCATTAGATTGGTCCCCTCCCTCTTGACCTTTAGAATGAAACTCAAAACCTGGTTATGGGACCAAGAGTTTGAACAGTGGAGGCAACAATTTAGAATGAGACTGAATTTGTGTGAATGACAATGGACTGACCTGGACTATGATATCAAACCTGTGTGACTTAAACAATGTTTTTTTAGTAATTCTATGTTTTAATTAATTTTATCATTTATTACTGTTGTTGGCATTGAATGAATGCCTGTTGTGAAACTGCCCTGAATCCCCCTCCAGGGGTGAGAAGGATGGGATACAAATATGCAAAATAAATAAATATATGGCTGGAGTTACACTTTAGAAATGTACCTGTTCCCACTTACATATAAAATTCCACTTAAGAACAAACAAACATACAAAACCTGTCTTGTTTCTAAGTAACTGCTTACTGCTCTCCACCAACTTGCCTTTCCATCAGCTTAACAAAAAATATTTGGACATATCAGACTTCCACGATTACAGAAATACACTAAGATTCTACCTCATTAAGACAGCATTTAGCAATTGCTTGAAGTAGTTCATTGGTCCTTTCAGGTTCATGCCCAGCAACAACACGTGCCGGTTTCACTGCCAGAGGCTCTCCTGTCACCATGATGACCACATCAATTGCCTTTTGAAGGAAACTGATTTTTGCATCTTTGTCCTGTAGAACAATATAGTTTTAGGTAACATTTTCTAGATTTTTCTATAAATTACAATCTAAATGTGACATAATCTTTGATTTAAGAATATAGCAACTATTTAGCATTTTTGAAACAGTCCTTCAGTCATTACATTCATCTTTAAGAGACTGATGTGTGCATGTAGGAGAAATACTTCTTAAATAAAAAAAACCTAAAGAAATAATGAGAATGCAGACATACCTTGACATTATCAGATTTCATCTCTGCTTCTGTGTATAATCCTTTCATGAAACCGGTTGATCTAATTACCTTTGAAACAATAAAAAGAGTATTACATTTCTGGGTTTCCTAGGTACTGTGGTTTTGGACATATATTCATGCTCCCATAAGGATTATAATGTTTACATATTTACCACTTTTTAACAAGATTTCAGATACATTCCAGTTGTCTAATGTAAGTATCTGCCAAAACTTTCTCTGTAAGCTATCTGATATGGAGAGTTTTCCGATGTGTTTTTTTATGGACCTGTATCATACTTGTGCCCATTAGCTAGAACTTTTTTTTCTTTACTGGAAGCAGGGGACCAGTACCATACCCAGCATATATGTCCATAGAAACCACTTTGAGTAGCACTGTTCCAGCCTATAAATCATTAAATTGGGAAAAAAGCTATAAGCTTTCCAAGTACAGGCAATCCCCTGGTTACAAACAAAAAAGATTATATAGGTTTGTTCTCAAGTTGAATTTGTATGTAAGTCAGAACAGGTACATTTTGAAAGTAACGGAATGTCGGTGGACAGGAAAAGAGATTTAAATATGGGCTCAAAGCCAACCTTAAAAACTCTGGCATAGACAGCTTAGAACTGGGAAGCCCTGGTCCTTAACCGCTCTCGTTGGAAGTCAGCTGTGACCAGCAGTGCTGTAGAATTTGAAGAGGGTGAAAGAGAGAAACGTGCCAAGAGGATGGCACATCAAGCCAACCCCTACCGAGATTGCCTTCCACCTGGAAACCAATGCCCTCACTGCAGAAGATGCAGATCAAGAATACGGCTCCATAGTCACCTACGGACGCACCAGTACACTGATCTTGGAAGACTATCCTACTAGGACAACGAGGGGTCGCCTAAGTAAGTAAGTAAACATTTAGCTTTGGACAGCATAGGGACGGGTTAACAACAACCCTGTGGCAGGCCTGTAGCCAGGATTTTGATTCTGGGGAGAGGGGGGGCTGAGTCTGAGTGAAAGAGGGTCTACCCTAGCAAACCTTTTGTATCGTTACCCCAATACCCCCATGCATATGGGATATCTTGAGCATGGTGATCAGATCATGATATGAATAAGTACCGGTCCGACAGGAAGGTAATGGCGCTCCATGCAGTCATGCCGGCCACATGACCTTGGAGGTGTCTACAGACAACGGCAGCTCTTCAGCTTAGAAATGGAGAGGAGCACCAATCCCCAGTCAGACATGACTGGACTTTAATGTCAGGGGAAAACCTTTACCTATAAGGCCTTCTCACGGACCACCATAAGTATTTCCGGGGAGGGGGGGGCTGGTACATGCCCCCCAGGTACATGCCTGCCCTGTGGTGTTTGTTTTGTTGTCTGTGCCTCTGTTCAGAAGATTTCATTACACTTTCTGCCCTGTGAGAATTGGATTCAGAAAAATGTGGCTTGATGCAGAAAAACTTTTCTTTCTTTTAAGGGTGAATTTCCCTTCCCAGGGGTAGATTTCTCTCACTTTCTGTTGTCTCACCCCTGTTCTTAACGATGAGTCATTTGTAAGTAAGATATTTGTAACTTGGGGGTTGCCTGTATAATAATAATAATAACAACAACAACAACAACAACTTCTTTGTATCCCGCCCTCTCTCCCAGGAGGGACTCAGGGCGGTTTACAACATAAAGAGGCAAACATTCAAGCACAGGAAAACAATAAACAACTGTAAAAAGATGAGAAGATATTAAACAACGATCTATATAAATAAAAATGTAATGTTGGTTTGTGGGATTAACATAACTCAAAAACCACTGGACGAATTGACACCAAATTTGGACACAAGACACCTCTCAAGCCAATGAGTGACCATCACTCACAAAAACACTGAAAAACACAGCACAAGAGTCTTAAAATGCATTTTTAAAAAAACATAGCACATGCACAAAACCACATATATAAACATATACACACTTATATACAAGCAAGACACATATACACAGACTGGGCCACAGCAATGCGTGGCAGGGGACAGCTAGTTCCAGAATATCAAGGCAGAAAATCCCATAATATCTGCTTTGAGCTGGGTTATCTGAGTCCACACTCAGATAATGTGGGATTTTCTGCCTTGATATTCTGGGATAAAGGGCTGTGTGGAAGGGTCCTCTGATTCCCATGCCTAAACAGGAGTTTGAACCCTGGCCTTCTGAGAGTCTTAGGGCCCTTCCTCACTGCCCTATATCCACAAATATCAAGACAGGAAATCTCAAAATATCTGCTTTGAACTGGGTTATCTGAGTCCACACTCAGCTAGTCTATATATATAAAAATGTAATGTTTGTTTGTGGGATTAACAGAACTCAAAAATCGCTGGACGAATTGACACCAAATTTGGACACAAGACACCTAACAACCCAATGTATGTTCTTCACTAAAAAAAATTGATTTTCTCATTTGGGAGTTGTAGTTGCTGGGATTTATAGTTCACCTACAATCAAAGAGCATTCTGAACTCCACCAATGATGGAATTGAACCAAACTTGGCACACAGGTCTCCCATGACCAACAGAAAATACTGGAAGGGTTTGGTGGGCATTGAGTTTTGGAGTTGTAGACTACCATGGACTCAAACAATGATGGATCTGGACGAAACTTGGCATGAATATTCCATATGCCCAAATATGAACACAGATGGAGTTTGGGGGAAATAGACCTTGACATTTGGGAGTTGTAGTTACTGGGATTTATAGTTCACCTACAATCAAAGAGCATTCTGAACCCCATGAACGACAGAATCGGGGCAAACTTCCCACACAGAACCCCCATGACCAACAGAAAATACTTAAGGCCATCCAGTCCAACTCCCTTCACCAAGACAAGAAAACGTAATCAAAGCCCTCCTGACAAAGAGCCATCCAGCCATAGAGATAGATAGATAGATATGATTCACACACACAGAAGTATAGTATCATAGATTTGAAAGGGACCCCTAAAGAAGGACAATGATATGTTGCCTCTTCCAGAGTAGGCAAACCAGACAATCTCTACATCAACACTGACAAAGAAACAGCAAGAAATACTGTTTACCCACAAGCAGAAAGACATTACATATATTACAAACCAACACTTTCTCATTTCTTTATTTTCCAGATCATCAGACTGGGCCACAGCTGGAGCTTTGGCACAGAGTGCTACCAGTATGCAGATGATACCCAGCTACTCTTGCGTCTCGGACCTGGGATAACCGCGATTCCTGAGAACTTTAGGCTGTGTTTGGAAGCAGTGATGAGTTGGCTGCGAGCGAGCAGACTAAAAGTGAATCCTGGAAAAAATGAGATACTCTGGCCTGGCCAGCTGCCAGAATTAATCCAGTCTCTGCCTGATTTCGATGGGGAAGCTCTGGTTCCGTCTGCCACTGTTAAAAGCCTTGGGGTTGTGTTGGACTCATGCTGACGATGGAGGCCCAGATCACTGCCATAAGTAAGCAGGCCTTTTTTCATCTTCGCCAGGCAAGGAAATTGGCATCCTACCTTTTGGTAGAAGCATTGGCAATGGTAATCCACGCAACAGTCACCACGAGGTTGGACTATTGCAACGCCTTATATGCCAGCCTTCCGAAGTCAACAACCCAGAAGATTCGGATGGTCCAAAATGCAGCGGCCAGGCTGCTAGCGGGATCATCTATAAGATCCCATATTACACCGATTCTGCAACAACTGCATTGGCTACCAATAGAACATCGGATCTCTTACAAGATACTGATCCTGACATTTAGAGCTCAAAATGGCCAAGGACCTTTATATCTTAGGGACTGCCTCATTCCTTTTCTCCATCATTGGTCACCTTGATCCACCCAGGAAAATCTCCTATATATACCGGGCGGCCCTAGGTAATTTTCAACGGTAAGCAAACAGTATTTTGGCCCCCCCCCCCCCAACCAATCACTGATATATATTTTCTGTTCGTCGTGGGAGTTCTGTGTGCCATATTTGGTTCAATTCCACCATTGGTGGAGTTCAGAATGCTCTTTGATTGTAGGTGAACTATACATCCCAGTAACTACAACTCGCATATGTCAAGGTCTATTTTCCCCCAAGAGCGCCTCAAGAGCACCCCTGGGCAAAATCAACTATACTGCGAATGCTTACTTTGCGTAATGGTTGAGCCGCCCCTGCTTACTGCCTTGGAACAGAAATGGCAGTAAGTCTTCTGCTGCATCTTTTTATGAACAGAGTTAGAATATAGGAAAGATCACATAAGCATGCATGCCATGAAGGAAATAATTTGATCCTTTTTTTCATATATTTTAGTATTGGTGATTATGCTTGGTATGTCATCATGGCATTGAATGTATATGCTTAGAAAATGTTGACCATTTCCGCTACCTTGGCAGCCACCTCTCCACCAAAGTCAACATCGACACCGAAATACAACACCGCCTGAGCTCTGCAAGTGCAGCATTTTCCCGAATGAAGCAGAGAGTGTTTGAGGACCGGGACATCCGTAGGGATACCAAGGTGCTTGTCTATAAAGCTATTGTCCTCCCAACCCTGCTATATGCCTGCGAAACGTGGACTGTCTACAGACGTCACATGCAACTCCTGGAACAATTCCATCAGCGCTGCCTCCGGAAAATCCTGCAAATCTCTTGGGAAGACAGGCGGACAAATGTCAGCGTGCTGGAAGAAGCAAAGACCACCAGCACTGAAGCGATGGTCCTCTGCCATCAACTCCGCTGGACCGGCCACGTTGTCCGGATGCCTGACCACCGTCTCCCAAAGCAGTTGCTCTACTCTGAACTTAAGAACGGAAAACGGAACGTTGGTGGACAGGAAAAGAGATTTAAAGATGGCCTCAAAGCCAACCTTAAAATCTCTGGCATAGACACTGAGAACTGGGAAGCCCTGGCCCTTGACCGCTCCAGCTGGAGGTCAGCTGTGACCAGCAGTGCTGCAGAATTCGAGGAGGCACGAGTGGAGGGTGAAAGAGAGAAACGTGCCAGGAGGAAGGCACGTCAAGCCAACCCTGACCGGGACCACCTTCCACCAACGAGGGATCGCCTAAGTAAGTAAGTAAGTGTGCATTTCAGTAATCAGATCTAATTTGCCAAATAGTCACTGTTGAATGTTTTTATGTTGAATGTTTTTATATTGTGTAAATGCTATTTTAGATTGTAAGTCTCTCGGAGCACCTTGGTGGAGAGCGACTAATTAAGAAATAAAGTGAAGTGAAGTGAAGTATCAAATAATAATAGAACCCGACAGCAAATAAACAACCATTGCTAAAATACATAGTTAGACAATCTGTAATTAAAACGGGTCAATAATTAAAAGGGGTCACAGAAACCTGTCTTGGACAAAAAGGGGTCATGAGTGGAGAAGGTTTATGAGGCCCTGGCCCAATCATGAACAGTGATTGTGAACAACAAACTCTTATCTATTTCTACACTAGTGACGACCCAAGAGCGTTTTCATAACCATCTCCACTGCTCCACTGCATGGAGACTGTGGGCACTTCTCTTCCTGGCTTGCAGTCCCAACGCCTGCATTTTGTGAGGGCCAAGGCCTCCCTCTGGTCGCCTAGCAACGGGGCACGCGCGCAGCCCCCCTCCCCTCGCGCCCCTTCCCTCCCTCCCTCCCTCCCTCCCCGGGCCTGACCTCCCCGATCACGTCGTGCAGGTAGCGGAAGGGGGGCTTGCTGAGGAGGCGCTCCGTGAGGGGCGGCTTCCGTATCACTCGACCCAGCAGCTCCTGCGTCCGCCGCACCATGGAGCCCTGCATGGCGGCGCCCCGACTGCCCGGACCGGACCAGGCCCCTCGCAAACTCCCGGCGCGCCCCGCGCCCGCCCGCCTGCCTTCCTTCCTCCGCCGCCGTTGCTACCCAACTCCGTCAGCCTAGCAACCGGGCGGCGCGCGGTCCGCCCCGCCTCCTCGCCCTCCCGATTGGACGCAGGGGGAGGGAAATGGTGACGTCATGGACGGCTCCGCCCTCTCGCATTCTCTAGGCCTCTGTCAATAGGGCCATCGCTTTTGGAGAGTCTCCCTTGACCGGCGCCCACGGGGACTGCCAGGTGCAGCAGGGTTTTATTTTTCTGGTTATTTAATGTTTCTTTTGCTTAAGTGATATTTGTCTTTACTGTTTTAATGTAGAACAAATCCTATGTAAAATCATACCACGTATTTTTGACATTAATATTGAAATCTGAAATATAGACTTCTAGTTGCTGGAGGGTTGCCATTACAAACAGGCCTTCGATTGTGGTTTCGAAGGCTTTCATGGCTGCCTTGCTGTGAGTTTTCCCAGAAACATTCTCTCCTGACGTTTCGCCTACATCTATGGCAGGCATCCTCAGAGGTTGTGGGTCTGTTGGAAACTAGGAAAGCGAAGTTTATTTATCTGTGCAATAATGTCCAGGGTGGGAGAAAGAACACTTATCTGTTGCAGGCAAGTGTGAATGGGTTGTTGTAGATTTTTTCGGGCTATATGGCCATGTTCTTCTAGAGGCATTCTCTCCTGACTTTTCGCCTGCATCTAGGGCAAGCATCTTCAGAGGTAGTGAGGTCTGTGGGAACTAGGAAAAGGGTGGGGCAAAGGACTCTTGTCTGTTGGAACTAGGTGTGAATGTTCCAACTGATCACCTTGATTAGCATTTGATGGCCTGGCAGTGCCTGGGGCAATCTTTTGTTGAGAGGTGATTAGATGTTCCAGATTGTTGAGAGGTGATTAGATGTCCCAGTTGCACCCATACCTTGGGAAGTCTGATCTGGCCATGGTGGTCTACGCTCCTGTTACATCCCGCATAGATTACTGCAACGCACTCTACGTGGGGTTGCCTTTGAAGACTGTTCGGAAACTTCAATTAGTCCAGCGGGCGGCAGCCAGATTACTCACCGGAGCGTCATACAGGGAGCATACTGCCCCTCTGATATGTCAGCTCCACTGGCTGCCAATCCAGTTCCGAGCACAATTCAAAGTGCTGGTCTAGACCTACAAAACCCTATATGGTTCCGGCCCAGCGTATCTGTCTGAACATATCTCCCTCCATGTTCCACCTCGGAGTTTAAGATCTTCTGGGGAGGCCCTGCTCTCGCCCCCTCTATCACAAGTGAGATTGGTGGGGACGAGGAGCAGGGCCTTCTCGGTGGTGGCCCCTCACCTGTGGAATTCACTCCCAGGGGAGATTAGGTCATCGACATCCCTCCTCTCTTTCAGAAGGAAATTAAAAACATGGATATGGGACCAGGCCTTTGGGTAATCTGGCAGATAGACAAAGGACAACGACAACTAGTTAGGATTTGACATTGTGGAATGAACTTACAGATTCTGAGCTGGCAAACGTTGAGCATTAGATTGGTTTTATTGATTGTGATGTATAATTGATTGTTTTAATTGTTTTATAATTGCTGTTTATATGTTTTTATCTTATTGTTTGTGTTGGCATCGAATTGTGCCTTTTGTAAGCCGCCCTGAGTCCCCCCTCGGGGGTTGAGAAGGGCGGGGTAGAAATGCGCGAAATAAATAAATAAATAGTTTCCCTTGTGTTGTTTTGCTGTTGTAATTCTAGAGTTTTTTTTAATACTGGTAGCCAGATTTTGTTCATTTTCATGGTTTTCCTCCTTTCTGTTGAAATTGTCCACATGCTTGTGGATTTCAGTGGCTTCTCTGAGTAGTCTAACTCTAACAACCACCATATCAGTCTTTACTTCTGGTTGCTTGAGGGTTGCCATTGCAAATAGGCCTTCAATTATGGTGTCGAAGGCTTTCATGGTTGGAATCACTGCCTTGCTGTGAGTTTTCCCGTCTGTATGGCCATGTTCCAGAAGCATTCTCTGCCAACGTTTCGCCTACATCTATGGCAGGCATCCTCAGAGGTTGTGGGGTCTGTTGGAAACTAGGAAAGTGAGGTTTATTTATCTGTGAAATAATGTCCAGGGTGGAAGAAAGAACACTTGCCTGTTGGAGGCAAGTGTGAATGTTGCAAAGGGTCATTAAATGCTAATCAAGGTGGCCAATTGCAACATTCACACCTGCCTCAAAAAGACAAGAGTTCTTTCTCCCACCCTGGACACTAAACCACAGATATATAAACCCCCTTCCCTAGTTTCGAATAGATTCCTCAATAATAATAATAATCATCATAATAAAAACTTTATATATACCCCGCTCCATCCTCCCCAGGGGGACTCGGTGCGGCTTACACGAGGCCACGCCCATCAGTACAGTACACACAATATAACACAAAAACATAACAAAACCAAAAAATAAAATACATAAAATGAAAAACCAATATAATAAGCGACACAACAATATAAAATCAAACATTAAAACACAACAGATTTCACTGGGCAGGGCCAAATTCAAGGATAACATTTTAAAACACTGGGACATAGGACAATGTAAAACATCAGGAGGAGGATCCGGAAATGAGGAAGGATTTAATTGCACGAACTTTTTTAATGCTATCATGATAAAACTTGCTCTAATTGTATCACAGTTTCCACTGTTAGTCTGCCAAGTTTAAGAACATTACACTCATTCACTAATTTTGGGGGAAATTTGGAACTTTTTACAAACAATTTTTCTTTTATAAAAACTACAAGAGCTATCTCCTGGAATTTCATATACAATGCACAAGATAACCAAGGCATTGATCCTCAGAAATTTCAGAAAGATTAACACATCTACAGATTTTGGGGGATTTTTAAAAGTTTAGACAAAAACAAATGATCCCCCCAAGAAGTGACAGCAGCAATCCCTTTGAATGTCTGCCTTTATGACACACAACCTGAGAACTTCAACTTAGCACAGCTTTATACTATTACTTACTTTAGTCCTCTTTTCAGATTCAATAATTTTATTCTCTCTCCTCTTCAACATCTACGTTAGACCCCTTGCTAGTTTGGCTCGGAGTTTCGGCCTGGACTGCTACCAATATGCAGACGATATCCAACTCCTTCTGCACCTGGAGCCTGGAGCAACGTCAATTCCAGACAATTTCACCCTATGTCTGGAAGCTCTGTCGAACTGGCTGCATGCTAGCAGACTGAAGGTGAACCCGGCAAAGACTGAGATTCTCTGGCATGGCTGCCCGGCAGGTCTGACTCCTCCGTTGCCCACCTTCGATGGTGCCGCCCTATCTCCTTCACCTACCGTTAAGAGCTTGGGTGTCGTTTTGGATTCGCAGCTGACAATGGAAGCTCAGGTCGCTGCTGCCAGCAAACAGGCCTTTTTCCATCTACGACAAGCGAGGCAATTGGCACCCTACCTATCTGACGAGGCTCTGGCAACTGTCATCCATGCCACGGTCACGTCTAGGCTGGACTATTGCAACGCCCTGTATGTTGGCCTTCCGATGTCTACGACCCGAAAGCTTCGTATCGTTCAGAACGCGGCAGCCAGGTTACTCACAAGAACGCCCATGAAATGCCATATAACACCAGTGCTGCAACACTTACATTGGCTTCCAACTGAGTACTGTGGCCTGTATAAGATGTTAGTTCTGACCTTTAAAATCCTTTACGGCCAGGGTCCATCGTACCTTAGGGACCACCTCTCCTTCTCCCATCATTGGAGGTCGCAACGACCAGCCCAACGTGACTTACTCTATATACCAGGTCCTAGAGAAGTGCATTTGGAAAGGATCAGGCGCAGGGCTTTTTCTATTTCTGCCCCGGACTTATGGAATTCCTTGCCGCCCTACATGAGAGCCATGCGTGACTTAGGGCCTTTTACTCTTGCACTTAAGACCTGGCTTTTTACTAGAGCATTCGATCTCTGTTAATTTTAATTTTGTATGTATGTATTTTATCTTTTACAATTTAACTGTAAATCACTTGGAGCATTCTCGGATGGAGGGCGATTAATAGGTAATTAAATGATGATGATGATTTATTTATTTATTTATTTATTTATCAATTTTATATACCGCCACCCCCCGAAGGATCAGAGTGGTTTACAATATACATATACGATACATTACATTTAAAATCAAAGAAAAATTTCAATGGCTAGTTCCATTGGGTCCTTCAGATGCTAAGCACTGTAGTTCGGGAAATGTAGTTTAGGGCAGGGCATTCTCTGCCATAGGGGGCCTCGCCTTCCCAAACTACATTTCTAACAATGCTGCCCCCACCCAAGTTTGATTCTTTAAACACTTTATGTTTTCTTGGTTTTACCAAAGTTGCTTAATGACCATACTGAAAATTAAATTGATCTTGGGAGGCACCCAAATGTTACAAAATCTCAACAAAAAATGATTGGTGAGTGTTTCGATTCTTAAATATTCCCCCCCCTGCACCTAATATTGATTCGTATGGATGGATTTAACAAATTTGATACAAAATACAAAGAGTAATGATAATTTTACATATCCTGCTACTTTATATCCCATGATTTGCTTTATATTCCAGATTATCTGTCTTGAACTGGATTATATGAGTCTCCATTTCCAGATCATCTGAGATAAGAAGATAATCTGGGATCAAATCCTGGGATATAGGGCAGTGTAAATCCAGCCTGAGAGTCTACTGTAATTTCATAGTAGACTCTCATTTCATAGGTGACATCTCCAGCCCATCTTCTGTTCGGATAGCAGCCAGCAAGCCAACACCTTAAATCAAGACATAGCTTCCTAAGATCTACAGCAGGCATTGACAAACTTTGGCCCTCCAAGTGTTTTGGACTCTAATTCCCACAATTCCTAACAGCTGGTATGCTGTTATAATAATAATATTTATTTATTTGATCCGTCATATGACCATTTCAAAATAGAACATGAGTAAAAAACAAGGCAAAAAGGTGAGGACAGCAGCTGACCTTCTGTTTATAGTCAGAATCTGATTTTCCTGGTTCTTCTTTCAGGAAATCTGCTCTTTTCTTAATAGCTTTCAGAATAAAAAGGCTTACTCTGATTATGCTGGATCTTTCCTGCCCTTGCAAGAGGGATGTCAGAATATCATTTCTGTTGGGAAACCTGCAGTTGGATAATATTGGATGTAAATATCTGTCTCACAGTTCAGTATATGCTGGACAGTCAATTAAGAAATGTTCAATGTCTTCCACTGTTTGTTCTCCCCAGATGCAGGTATGCTGTTAAGAATTGTGGGAGTTAGAGACCAAAACAAAAAGAGGGCCGAAATTTGCCCATGCCTGATCTACAAAGATATTTGCAGGAACACCTCAGCAAGAGAGAGTCCATAAGTGGAAGGTTAAAAACTGGAACATCAATCAGTGGCTGATATTTATTCATTTATTTAAATCCATTTTTATCCCACTTTTCTCCTGCACCAAGGCGAGACTCAAAGTGGCTAACAATACAATAAGAACATACAAAGTAAAAAATTAAAACAGATTAAAACCCATTAGCAACCTTATTATCTAAAACTGTCAGCAATAAAACTCTATTTACAAATATAACATACATATTTAAAACCATTAATTAACCCCACTGGAAGCCAAGTTCCCATACTCACGAGAGACCTGTCGTCCATCTACAATTTTAATTTCCTGCAAAGGCCTGTTGAAACTGTTTTCCTTTCCTAAACGATCAAAGAGTGGTGGTGGCCCTTATTTTTTTAGCCAGGGCCTTCACAGAAAAGTCTCTTCTCAAGTAGTTTTAAGTCACATGATGCCAGATGAGTGACTTGGAACAGACTGTGCTCTGGCACCATGAGATGCAGAGCCAATCTTAAGAAATGGGGCTACAAAGTGGAATCCACAACATGCGAGAGCTGAGAAGAGTAAACCACAGACCACTTAGTACAATGTAATCTGAGCCCTGCCACATACACAGTGGAGGATCTTCTTACAGCGACACAAGAGGCACTCCAAGTGGCTAGCTTCTGGTCAAAGGAAATCTAGTATAATGCCAAGTTTTAACTTTGTGGCTTTTAATACATTATAACTGTATTCTCAACTCACTTCTGACACAATAAATAACAGGGATTTTAATTATACTATGTAACAAAATTTGAAAAAAAGTCCTATTCCTGGTCTGAAAATGTTATTTCATGTTTAATTGTGCAGTGCTTAGGTAGTTGTTATACTCCAAAAACTTCGTTTTTGTAGCCTCCACAAATTATGCTGAATTGGTCAAGACTTGATGAGATATTAATTGAAAAACTATAATAAAATGTGCTGCAGGGTGTCCCTCTCACAAAAACAAAGCTTTTGCTGTTTAATAACACTTTCATATGTTTTTATAATAAGAAAATGACATTTATAATCCAGAAACAAAAATTGTGTTACATAATGTTATTATGTTTATTTATACCTTGCTTTTTCTTAACAAAAGAGACTTAAAGTGGCAAGGGATACTCAGGCTGGATGTACACTGCCTTATATCCCAGGATCTAATTCCAGATTATCTGCTTTGAACTGAATCTACACTGCCAGAAAGTCTGGAATAAACAGATAATCTGGAATCAGATCCTGGGACATAGGGTAATGCAGATCCAGCCTCAGAGGTGGTTTTCCCAGATTCTTTCTCTCAAATACACCTTGTTATTCCTTGGTGGTCTCCCATCTAAGTCACTTCTGGGTGCCATCACCACTCAAGCAGGGAGCTTTGAGATGGTTGAACAGAAGCTCTCTGAAGCTCTAGGTGCTCTTACTGCCTACTACAGGGAAAACCAGCTGATTCTTAATCCATCTAAAATACAGACATGGGCTTTTCACCTTAAGAACAGACAAGCATCCTGATCTCTGAGAATTACCTGGGAAGGAGCACTGCAGCGCACCCAAATACCTGGGAGTCACTCTGGACCGTGCTCTGACCTACAAGAAGCACTGCCTGAACATCAAGCAAAAAGTGCGCTAGAAACAATATCATACGAAAGCTGACTGGCACAACCTGGGGATCACAACCAGACACAGTGAAGACATCTGCCCTTGCGCTATGCTACTCTGCTGCTGAGTATGCATGCCCAGTGTGGAACACATCTCATCATGCTAAAACAGTGGATGTGGCTCTTAATGAAACATGCCACATTATCACGGGGTGTCTGCGCTCTACACCAATGGAGAAATTTCACTGTTTAGCCGGATCGCACCACCGGACATCCGCTGGGAAGTAGCAGCCAATAGTGAAAGGACCAAGGCAGTGACATCTCCAGCCCACCCCCTATCAGCCAGCACGTCAACGACTTAAATCAAGAAATCATTTTCTAAGATCTACAGAGACACTTGCTGGAACACCTCAGCAAGCGAGAATCCAAAAGTGGCAGGCTCAAACCCAGAACCTCAATCAATGGCTGATACCAAATGAGAGACTCCCCCCTGGGCACACAGAAAACTGCACGACTTGGAAGGTACTGAACAGACTGTGCTCTGGTACCACGAGATGCAGAGCCAACCTTAAGAAATGGGGCTACAAAGTGGAATCCACGACATGCGAGTGTGGAGAAGAGCAAACTACAGACCACCTGCTGCAATGCAACCTGAGCCCTGCTACATGCACAGTGGAGGACCTTCTTATAGTAACACCAGAGGTATTCCAAGTGGCCAGCTACTGGTCAAAGGACATTTAATCAACTACCAAGCTTACAAACTTTGTGTTTTGTCTGTTTGTTCATTTGTTAAAAAATGCATTACAACTGTTTGGTCTGCTCCTGACAAGATAAATAAATATCCCATCTAAGTACCAACCAGGGCCAACCTCCAGAGCAGACAGGGCCTGGATGTCTCCTTATTTTTCTGCTGGATCATTTAGCACACTTGATGCAAAATGTCTGAGGCCTATACAGGAGTCTGGGCACTTGCAGACCAATTCTGGGGAGAATAGACCCTCATCCCAAGGTCCATGAATGCTTTATATCAGCTGTGCTCATGGAGCTATAGGGTTACTTTCCTTTTCAAGTTCCCCAAAAGGAGATAATCAAAGAAGATAATCTGAATTTTATATGGCAGTGTAGAATGGGCCTAATGCTGGATCTACACTCCCTTATATCCCAGGATCTGATCCCACATTATCTGCTTATCCCAGATTATCTGGCAGTGTAGACTTATATAAGATAGTTCAAAGCAGATAATCTGGAATCGGATCCTGAATATAGGGCAGTGTAGATCCAGCCCAAATCTACCAAACAGCTCCTTGGAAGCAGCAGTAAATGGAAAGTGACTCAGTTGAAGCTCTATCAAGGGACAATGGCAGTGGCATCATAGCTAATGCTGGTCAGTTCATTTTGTACTGAGGAAGGTAATAGTAATTCCTGAAACCTTTTATCTTGAAAACTCTAGAGTGAGCCAATCCAGAATGAAACAAGAGACACTGTCCAAAGCTGAAACTTCCCTAACAGGAGGTATTCCACAATCTATTGGAGTAGAGCAGAAGATAACTACAAATGTGGTTTATGGCAGAACAGGGCTCAAGCCAAAAATTACATTCAGCTTTAAAACAGCACCAATAACATTTCAAGATGTGTTTGCAAGCATGGCTTAGCTTAGGTTAGTGAGTATACTACAAACACCAAAGGGGATTTCACTCAAAGATAGACAGTTTTAAAAGACCAATTCTTGTGCAGTAAATCATTTACTAAAAAGCAATTGGTGGAAGGGGCATGACTTTAAGCCCCCAGAACCAATGTCATTTTGTTAGATCCTGGCTCATGATTCATCCATTATTATTATTATTATTATTATTATTATTATTATTATTATTATTTGTACCCCACTAACATCTCCCGAAGGACTCGGTGCGTTTAAAGGCCAAGGCCCTCAATAAAACAACAGCATAACAAATACAACAATAAAACTCAAAAAGCAAACCAATAAACATTAAAGCAATAACAGTAAACATTAAACAATAACATCATGACACATTTAAAAACTAAGGGCCGGGCCAAATGCAATGAATAAAATTAAAAGTGCTGGACACGACAGGTGAAATGTAAGGAGTTTAGAGTTGGTGTGATGTGCAGACAATCCTAAATCTCTAATAAAGTGCATTTGGGACATGATGCTGGGAGTTTCCTATTCTGGAAAGGCACACTGGAACAGCCAGGTCTTCAAGCTCTTCCTAAAGACTGCCAACGTTGGGGCTTGTCTGATGTCCTTGGGGAGAGAGTTCCAGAGTCGGGGGGCTACCACAGAGAAGGCCCTGTCCCTCGTCCCCACCAAACGCGTTTGCGACGCAGGTGGATCATGAGCAGGGCCTCTCCAGATGAACGGAGGGATCGTGTGGGTTCATATACGGAAATGTGGTCACGCAGGTAGGCGGGTCCCAAATCGTTTAGGGCTTTGTAGGTGAGCACCTGCACCTTGAATTGGGACCGGAAGATGAACAGCAGCCAATGGAGCTCCTTGAACAGGAGGAGCACGTTAACAACCTGGTGGCCGCCCGTTAGACTAATTGGAATTTCCAAGCCGTTTTCAAGGGTAGCCCCATGTAGAACGCATTACAGTAGTCCAATCTAGAGGTGACCAAGGCATGGACCACCCCGGTCAGATCAGCCTTTACGAGGTACAGTCGCATGTGTTCAACCAATATTAAGACAGTGAGATTACTTTTTAAATTTCTGGGACTTCATTGCTTAGAATTTCTTTTGTTTTTACTTAAAGTTTAAATAAACGGTTCAAGGGATAATTATTTGTTCAAGGGATAATCAAGGGATAATATATTACAAAAGCAGTGCAAGTGAAACCTTTAAATTCTTTATTCTTTTTGCAACTACAATAAAGATCAGACTTGAATACAAATTAAATAATAATAATTAAAAAACCCCAACAATGTTGCATTGTTAATAGAACCACAGTTGTGGAACCCTGAACATCCCATTCAAAAGGTATTCCTTTAAAAAACAAAACAACACACTGATTTATGGAAATTCCCATATTTTTGAAAAAACAATCAAGCAGCAATTGCTGCATTACATTGTAGTAAAGGCACATTCTTTGTGTGTATATATATATAAATATAAAAATATTTGCCCTCTTCCCAAAGCATAATGTTCTCTAGATAACAGATTTTTGTCACATCTTGGGTATGTTTTGCTGTATGTGAGACATCAGGGTTCCATAGCAGGAGATGAATACGCAAAAATTGGTTGTCGAGATTGCTACATTAGTTTCTTCTACATATGATTTGCAACACTTGGCTCCTTAAAACATATTTCAGAATTAGTTCCAAATAAATTTGTTTCAGAGGTCAAGAACACAAAAAGCAAAATGGCCCAAAACCTCAATTTATGGAGATAACTTGCAAATATTATATAGTGTTACTTATAAACCTCCTACAATTTAACCTTGCAAAGGGTTAGACCCTCCATTTACAGATCATAAAAAAGGAAGTGTACAGTATCTGTTAGAATAAATATTTCAGGGAAATAGGCCATGGAAGTAAAGACTACCAGCAAAAAACCATTTCTTGTCTTCGAGTTACTTTAACAAGAACAGTAAGTATGTTACCCATTACTGTGGGATACTCTGAGACAAACATTTCTATATTTAATATGCTATGCATAATATATCATGGTGGATTTTGTTCACTGAGGATAATGTAGAAATATGATTATGTTGCCTGAAACACGTTTTTGTGATCTACATAAGCAAAATATATGTGATGTATTAGCTGGTTGTAGGAAATGATATGACAAAACCAGTGGCCTATTCTCACTCTCGTTTACTGTTTCCTCTTTATTCACTTTGGTAACATAACACCTCACAGTACTTTATTGATTGTAATTGCACAAAATATAACCGCCCCACAGAACAAAGCAATTTTTATTGATTTCCCCTCCCTGCTGCAGCTCCAGTTTCCCCAAATCTGATCAGGGTGGTTTGGGGAGTCCATAAAAGACCTTTCTGCTCATGAAGAAATAATTCCTTATAGAATCCATTGTTATTTAGTCAGGATTGTACTGAAATTTGGTGGAACAAATCTAATATACAAAAACCTGCAAGGAAGATAGTACTTCTCCCTTCTCTCCCCCACCTTTCCCCTTCTTGTGAGGAAAAGCGAGGGTGACCCTCCCACCATCATCCACACAATGCAGGCGAATATCTATGGATGCAAGATTTGGACAGGATACAAATCCAGTATGCTTAAGCTCAGGTAATGCCACGTGTGAGCATCTCGTGGGACAAAGATGGTAGGGGAGAGAGATAAAAATGCATGCTCTCACTTTATTTATACTGCACACACAGAGCCTTGCCTAGCCATAATGTATGGTAATCAAGAACTAAGAAAACACATTGTATCTTTGCCTAAATGAAGTTCAACAGGGACAAATGGAAGATACTCCACTTTGGCAGGAAAAACAAAATGCAAAGATACAAAATGGGGGACACCTGGCTCGAGAGCAGTACATGTGAAAAAGATCTTGGAGTCCTCGTGGACAGCAAGTTAAACATGAGCCAACAATGTGACGTGGCGGCCAAAAAAAGCCAATGGGATTTTGGCCTGCATCAATAGGAGCATAGTGTCTAGATCTAGGGAAGTCATGCTATCCCTGTATTCCACCTTGGTTAGACCACACCTGGAATACTGTGTCCAATTCTAGGCACCACAATTGAAGAGAGATGTTGACAAGCTGGAATGTGTCCAGAACAAGGGTCTGGAGAACAAGCCCTATGAGGAGCGGGTTAAGGAGCTGGGCATGTTTAGCCTGAAGAAGAAAAGGCTGAGAGGAGATATGATAGACATGTATAAATATGTGAGAGGAAGTCACAGGGAGGAGGGAGCAAGCTTGTTTTCTGCTTCCCTGGAGACTAGGACGCGGAACAATGGCTTCAAACTACAAGAAAGGAGATTCCATCTGAACACGAGGAAGAACTTCCTGACTGTGAGAGCCGTTCAGCAGTGGAACTCTCTGCCCCAGAGTGTGGTGGAGGCTCCTTCTTTGGAGGTTTTTAAACAGAGGCTGGATGGCCATCTGTCAGGGGTGATTTGAATGCAATATTCCTGCTTCTTCGCAGGGGGTTGGACTGGATGACCCAAGAGGTCTCTTCCAACTATGATTCTATGATTCTAAATGTCTCTACAGAGACTGTGTTCCATCCATCTCTACTCCCGTCTTCCAGGGACAAGGCACAAAACAAGAAATTTTTGCAGGTTTGAATTTTCCAAAAACGCTGCAAATGAGGGTAAGCTCATGTTATGCTTAACACACACTGTCTATGTTCAATGTGCTTTCCATGGATAAACATCATAGCTGTATGTGATTCCCTTTTTGTATCTTATGTTGTCTTTAGGACTATATAAACTTTGGCATTTCTTAAAACAAATTTCTGGGTGATTAGAATGTAATGGTCAAATTGTTGGTATCTTACATTTAGCATTTTTCTATTAAATAAAACAGGAGATACAGATGGATTACGGGAGTAAAAGGAAGAACAAAATTCCGCTAATCACCATTACACTCTGTCTTGAAGTGTCAGAGAAGTTTCCCTTTGAATGCTTCAGACTAGACTTTAAAATACTTTTAGTATTTCAGCATGGAAGGGAAAGGTGCAAGCATCAGATTTCCTCCCCATCTCCATAAACGTATGAGCAGATAAACCACCTTTGCAATGATGACACAACACAGAATCAGGATTAAAGCACATGGTTATTAGAAAACAAGTCTTTTGAAAGGTTATGTGATGATCATATGTGTTCTCATTGATAAAGTGCAGGCATCCACCCTGAGAGTAAGCACTGAAACTGCAGGAACTAAAGCACTTCCTCCCAGAAGGATATAATAAGGAGATCCCAACCACCATCACTCCTTTGCCGTCCATTGTATCAAACACGCCAGTGCCAGGGAAGATTAGTCCTTGACTAGTCAAGCTGAAGCAACGCCATTGCTATCAATCAAAGTATTGGTGAGGTTTGCCAAATCCCAAAGAGTCAGCTGAAAACTCCTACACTTATGGAGAGTGCTGCTTCAGGCTTACGATGCTTAGTCACCTTTTTTTCATGGAAACAATCGTTCAGTACACTCTCTCTTTGCCTACTAAAAGAAAACAAAAGCAAAAGGTTGATTTGTGTAACAAGAATTTGTATGAGACAAGTTTGCATCTGAAAACACAGATCTTTGGGTGAATGTCAAAACACATCACATTTCTTTCTTCTTTTTCCCCCATTTAAGATTTTGCAGACACAAAGACAATCAACAATGCCTCAAAGACCCTTAAAAAAACAGAAACACCAAGTTTGTGATTTTTAACAATCTAGCTAAAGCATCTTCCAGTTGATACAACTATAATAATCTCTTTGAAACTAAATGTGTGAGTATATCATCCTATTTCTTAATATATATTAAGCTTGTACGTATATCATTTTAAAATAGATTTTTATCCTGTAGATACGTATTCCTTAATGATTTTTAAAAATATAATATGAATGTATTCAACTCTATATTAGCACAAGAAGGAAAAACAGAAGAAAAAGAGTGTGTGTTTTATAAACATAGGTTTAATATATCTCTATTATGTTTCATGACAATATGGGGCAAAGAGTTTAATGTTACAGCTACCAGCTCACAACATTTGTGCAAGACAGTTTTTGTAAAAGAAATCATGGGTACAATTAAATAATCTATGAATATATAACTTAAATATAAAAATAATATGTTTGTTGCCTGTAAAAAGCTTGCTGTGTTGTGGACAAAGGTTCTTAATTGTTTCATCTGACCCATTATGCAACACTTAACAACTGCTAACATTACTTATCCATAACAAGCACTCTTTTAGAATGCTAGTTAACCTTCTGCCAGATACCTTATCACAGTTATTACCAAGTACTGTATATACTCGAGTATAAGCCTAGTTTTTCTGCCCTTTTTTTAGGCTGAAAAAGTCCCCCTCGGCTTATACTTGAGTCAAGGTTATTTATTATTTTACTCTGTTGTTGTTGTTGTTGTTGTTATTATTATTATTTTCATTTCATTTATTATTTTATTCTATTTATTATTATTACATTTATCATTTTATTCTATTATTATACATTCATTATTTTACTGTATAATTGTTATTGCTACATTCATTATTTTACTCTTTTTATTATTGTTGTTATTATTACATTTGTTATGTTGCTATCTTTATTATTATTGGAAGGATACATAAGCACATTTACATTGAAGAAGGTAAATAATCATTTAATCAGAGTTGGACAGTCTTATCTTAAATTACCATTTCTGTAAATATTTAAAAATATATAACCTACTGATTTCTCAATTAATGTAATTTAATTGGTATCTATTTTTATTTTGCAGTTTACCAGTAGCTGCTGCATTTCCCACCCTTGGCTTATACTCGAGTCAATCTGTTTTCTCAGTTTTTTGTGGTAAAATTAGGTGCCTCGGCTTATATTTGGGTCGGCTTATACTCGAATATATACAGTAATTTAAGAATGCTTTACAACAAAAGCACACCAGAAGTTTCCACAATACATATTTTGTTAGTGATTTCAACAAAACACTCCTGTGCATAACTGATACTGCAAGTAATGGTTAAAGGGGATTAAGGGCTTGTAGAAAGCCAATGTCATTCCCATTTGGCAGAAAAATGGACTATAAATCAAATAAATAAATAGACTACTTTATTCAGAAGCTTCTCTTGGTTAGACAACAGAACATCATTTGCACATTTCAGAACACTGAGTGATTGCACTGCTTTATTGTGCTTTTCTTTAATTATACCTTTTTGGGATAGGTTATACAAATCGAACAAATACATAAAAACATATTTACCTTGTTTTTTCAATAATCAGCTGCTTCTGCATTTGTTTTCCAATATCATCTTTAATTGTACTAAAGTCTATAGTATCATCGATCAGGAGATTCTGTTGACAAAAAAAATTAGTGTAATGGGAAATAGAGCCATCAGCGATATTTCACTAATTGGAGCAATCTGAATCTTGCTACTGAAAATTCAACTCAGATGGCATTTTTGTTTACTTCTGATTGTACGAAAGCAGTGCCATGTTTTTGCCCATGTCTTTATCTACATGAAGTCTTTTGGTTTTGAAAAACAGTTGAGTAAACTTTGTCTTGGACCACAATTTTTATAATCGTCTACACCAGGTCAATGGCAGTTACATGTCAAAACCTCGGAAACAGGCATGTAGCTGGGGGGGGGGGGGGGCTTGAGGGGCTTCAGCCCCCCCCCCAAAATTCTGATGGTGGTCCGCGAGAAGGCCTTACTGGTGCATTATTTAAACTGCTATGTTTATTCATATCATGATCTGATCACTATACTCAATATATCCCATATGCATGGGGGTATTGGGGTAACGATACAAAAGGTTTGCTAGGGTAGACCCTCTTTCACTCAGACTCAAACCCCCCCAAAGCAAACTCACCCCCCCAAAACAAAATCCTGGCTACGGGCCTGCTCGGAAACAACAAAGGTTCTTCAATCCCATTGAAAAATGTTCCAGGATGTAATAACATAGGCTGAGAAAATTTCATGACTTTTTGAAAGTTTTCTCCCTCAAAAAGTGAAGCAATATATTTTCACAGACAGTGCTTTCAAATTATAATGTTTTATCAGGCAAAAGCCTCTCAAACAAATAAAAACAATAGCAAGCTTGGTAGGGATTGTTTGAAGAAGATCTCAAAAGAAAAATGTGGAGAGATGGATAATCTGACCTCTAGTGAATTTCCATTTCAGGGAGTGACCAGATATAAACACATTAAATGAACAATGAGTTGTTATATCAATGATATACAAACCAAGGGAAAAAGATAAAACAATATAGACCATACTATGCTAATTAAAACAATATATATGACACATATGTTCTACAATTCTCTAGCCATTTATTTACATTTTTACTGATCACATTTCATATACTTTTAAGAACATCATTTCACCAACCACTATGCATTTCCAACCTGATGTTTCCATTCCATTCAAGGCATTATCATTCTTCCAACTCCTGCATGCCCCACTCCCTCTAATCATCATGTTATGTACAGCAATAAAAAACAGCAAGGGACTTTTGTTAAATAGTAAGTGGAAACAGCTGCCAAACTCACTAACCATTTACCTTCACACCAATAATATCGCCATCCTTCAAGCTATAGGGGCTCGACTGTAAGCTGTCACTTTTCTTCTTTTTCTTCTTCTTTGACATTTGCTGTGTCTGAATAAAATGAAAACTATTATGCCAAAACACCATAAATAAGCAAATAATTTTTGTTTTTTTTGTTTTTTTTTGGGGGGGGGCAGAGCTTTACATTGACATAAGTTGAATGTTATTAGTTTGCCCTCCATATCCACAGAAGATTGGTTTAGGGTCAATGGTGGATACCAAAATCTGCAGATGTTCAAGTCCTTATTTAGAGACAACTGACGTGTTTACTTTCAGAATTAAATTAGTGTATGCAGAAGCCAGGACTTTACCTATATAAGAAGGCTCTGTCATTCTCTCTCTGAACAAAAGTCCCAGAACCCTAAACCCTAATCAATTATATCAGTTCTCCTCCTCGTCACAATCAAAGATACTCCACAAAGACTTTGCACTCTCTAGAACAGGGGTCCTCAAACTTTTTAAACAGAGGGCCAAGTCATAGTCCCTCAAACAGTGGAACGGCTGGATTATAATTTGAAAAAAAAAACATGAATGAATTCCTATGCACACTGCACATATCTTATTTGTAATGCAAAAACACATTAAAACAAATCAATTAAAATGAAGAACAATTTTAACAAATACAAACTTATTAGTATTTCAATGGGAAGTGTGGCCCTGCTTTTGGCTGGTGAGATAGGATTGTAGTTGTTGTTGTGTGCTTTCAAGTAATTTCAGACTTAGGTTGACCCTGAGTGAGGGCCGGGTAAATGACCTTGGAGGGCCGTATCTGGCCTCCGGGCCTTAGTTTGAGGACCCCTGCTCTAGAGCATTTAAAGGTGTCAAGATGAAGGAAATAATATTTAAATATAATGATCCAGTTCCTGATAAATTGCGGGAAATTGTAAAAATTGTAATGAGGGTGGTGATGATTTGGGGGGGGGGGGGTCTGATGATATTCTTAACAGAAAGTACTGTATTGTTAAAAGAAAAGGGTTTTGTTAGAGAAATGTAAATACATTTATGCCTTGAGATAAGTGTTTAATTCATTCTGTGACTCAGCTCTTAACTCAAATCACTCTTATATCAAAGTGAATTTCCCATTGAAATGCTATTAATCCATCCTGGCCCCCGAAAACCTGCCCATTTTTGTTATGTGCTTCTAAAATAAGAAAATGTTATATCAATCTATCTATATGCACATTCACATGGAATAATAAAAAAGAAAGATCTACTTATAAATGGTAGAAGCACAAAGTTGTGGCAAGGAAGCACAACGTGAAGAGGCAGAAGCATCATTTCTTCATACTGTACTCATTCCAGCCTCCCTCCATCTTGCTATCTCTCCCTCTCTTTCTTCATGAAGCCAAATATACCAGAAATAAAAACCACATAAAGTCAAATTTTGTCAAAGCATACAAGAGCACGAGGCTGTTCCCTTAGTCCTGTACTCTGGTGCTAGCGCTCCTTCTGGTGCTAGCTCTTAACTTAAAATGCTGCTTGTATGTCGAAGTGAAACCCAGGTCGAGTGATGGCACTTAACTCCCAATGCTCTTAAGTTGAGGTTCCACTGTATAAGACATTCTTTATTAATTCTATTACATTCCAAGACTTTTCTATCCCCTCCATAGAAGTGTCTAAATATCTTGTGTCTGTAAGCAGCAAAGCATTGTATGGACCTCATAGGAACAGCAGCCAAGGTAGTGATGTACAGAGATTACAGTTGAATACCATTTTATTTTATTTTATACTAACTATTCTGTTAGTGGCATATACAGGTCTAAGTCAATCTTATGCGTGTGGATGAAAATTTTGCAATCATTTTGAATATTGCTACCAGGGCACTTCTCCAATTGTTCCACAAAACTCTCCATGAGACAGAGAATGACTGCAGATGGGATGCTGAAGCTCTAGAACAGGACTTCTTAAACGTTTTCCACTCATAACCACTTTCTCCCCCAATAAATTTTATGTGATCCCAGGTATATAGAATTGGTATAAAAATAAAATGTTTCCCGATAATAAACCAGCATTTGCAAGGCTTGATAAACAGACTGATTTTCCTTTTTGTGGAGAATAGCTGAAGGATTTTCTACAGAGTCCACTGTAACCACTGCAAATTGTTACTAAGATTTGTATCAATATCTGACATTCAGAAACCTTCTATTGTTGCTATTTTTTGTGACCCCAACATTCAGCAAAGGAAACTATGATGTCATAGGCAAGTGACCATGTGCTCCTGCAGTTTACGATACGAAAGAAGGCTGAAACTAAAACAAGTCAAACCCGCATTCCGAACTTTAGGAGAGCTGGAGGAAATACTGAGCAGCATTCCATGGATGCTGATACTAAAAAGCAAGGGAGTTATGGATGGATGGGAGTTTTTCCATAGTGAAATACTCAAGGCGTAATTGCAAACAGTGCAAACAAAGAAGCCAGAATAGATGTCCAAAGAACTTCTAACCGGGCTAAGACTCAAAACAGATATGCACAAGAAGTGGAAAAAGGGAGAAACCACCAAAGAAGAATTCAAACAAATAGCCAACTCCTGTAGGGAAAAGGTTTGCAAGGCTAAAGCACAAAACGAGCTCAGGCTTGCCAGGAAAATTAAAAGCAATAAAAAGGGCTTCTTTGCATACGTCAATAGAAAAAAGGAAGAACAAGGAAGTGATAGGGCCTCTGTGGGGAGAAGATGGGGCAATGCTGACGGGATAGGGAAAGGGCAGAACTACTTAATGCCTTCTTTGCCTCAGTCTTCTCACAAAAAGAAAGTAATTCTCAACCTCAGCAAGATGGAGTGGATGAGGGATTAGAGGACATCCAACCCCAAATTCTTCCAACTCTATGATTCTATGAAACCAATCCCATTTGGAGTTAGGGCCCAGTTTAAGAACAAGTGCATGGACTATCTACTGTAATTCTGCATGCAGAACAACTATGATATGCGGAGCCATACAGGATAGACTTACAGATTAGTAGGAAGGAAACACGAACTTCTTTAATTTCTGAAACTTTCCTCTTTATCCTGAGTATTAGCACAGTATTCATCATGTTACATTCACAGCATATAAAATACATTTTCAGTTGAAAGAACAATATTATAACACCTCTGTTCTCTTTTCTTAACCATGTCTTAACTTACCCAACTACTTATTGGCATCCATTCAAATTTTCCAGGAGAATATTTAGCGATTTCAATTTTTTCCACTGGCAAGGAATAGTATGTAGCAATTTTCCCCCTCAATGCAGATGCTGTACACTCTTTAGAAATATCCCATATTAAATCTACTGGATGATAGTAATCTCTCTCCCCTGGTATGCTCATCAGTATTCGTAGAAGTAAATCCTTTGGTCTGTGGTCAGGAATACACAATTACCATTCTTAAAAGATATGGCTACACACATTTTACAGAGGCTTATATATTCATTACACTTTTACAGGAATATTCTTCAGGAAAATAATGAACAAGGTACATCTGCAGTTTTATATTATTTTTTTCTAAATCTCTTTTTTGACAAATAGTCAAAATGTATCTCAGCCCAAAACCCGGGAAGCAAAATATCTTACCCAAGATTCTCTTCCTTATATAAAGTCTCTATACAAATTTCCACTCTGTTTCCTAGTTTGAGCTTTCTGAAAAATAAATACAATAGGCAAATTAATTTTAGTAGACAATATGGGGAAAGTAGGCCAATGTTTAAAAAGATAGTGTTATGAAATTAGTGTTGCCAACATTGTAAGAGTTTGAAAGCAAGTAACCTTCAACCAATGTAAAGACTAGCCTTCCTTCCTGAGATGTAAAAATCAATCAGTCTAAGCAGAAATCAGTTTAATTTAAATATAAAACTACTGTACAACAAAAATTGGAAAGAAGACATAACTTTAAAACTATTGATAAAACTCTATTTTATAAAAGAGAGGGGAAAAAGAAAGAATCAAGCAGTGTCTTTAAAACTAACACCCCATCTACACTGCCATATAAAATCCATATTATCTGCTTTGAACTGGATTATATGAGTCTAGACGGCCATATAAACCAGTTCAAAGCAGATAATTTGGACTTTATATGCCAATAAGTGATTTGTTTTAGGATGAGATTTTGGGTATTTCAATTCAATTCTTATTACAGTAATGTTTAATTTAATTAGTTTCAAGAAATAGGGGAAATGACTGTGGTCTTACTGGAGCTGCTCCTTGTTGTTTCGTAAAAGTTTGCAAGGCTGCTTATTTTCCATTGTCCAAACACGGATAAATTCTGGCAGTGGGACACTAAACTCTTGAATGGATGGCAAAGTCATCACCTGAAAAGGAAAAAGGTTTCCCAGCAATTACAAAATCAATATTACCTGAAAAATCAAAAACTAAATCCTTGTGAATTTTCTAACACAGTACAAATGCGTTATTCCACGTAACATTGCTTTTCATAAATTAAGAAGTTTTCCAACCTATTTGAATGCATGAATTGTTGACAGTGTTACAGCAGGGAAAGTGAAATTAACAAAGAGGCACATCATCGCCACCGAATTATCATTTTTCTGCTAAAATCCAAAAATGCATATCCCAGGGCATTTTGTTAACACAATTCTCTTTCATGTTACATCCATTCTCCATCAACAAGTGTAAGTGTGTAACGCCAAAACTGGGACATGGTTACAGAAGATATGTCCCATGTTAGTTTGAACAAGGAATCTCCATGTTTTTCATCTTATACTCCAAGTTCACGGCATCCAGAAATTCAAAAGCAAGGAATATTGTCTTATTAGTAGACTTTCTTTGAATAACTTAAGCCAAGAGCTTATAAATGTTGTTATAGGGAAGAAATGCCCAGTGGGCTTCCCACTTTCCTCATATATAGGCTGAGCATCCCTTATTCTGGATTCTTAAATCTGAAATAGTCAAAATTCCAAATTGTCCACATGGGTGGCTGAGATAGTGACATTTTTGCTTTCTGATATGGCCCAATGTATACAAACTTTGTTTCGTGCACAAAAGCATTAAAATAATAATAAATAATAATAAAACTTTATTTATATCCCACTCCATCTCCCCCAGGGACTCGGTGCGGCTTACATGAGGCCACGCCCATCAATACAATACAACAATATAACACAAAAACATAGTGGAACCAAGCAAAATACATAAAATGCAAAATCAAAATAATATACGACACAACAATATAAAATCAAGCATTAAAAACACAGAAAATTTCACTAGGCAGGGCCAGATTCAAGGACAAATTTTTAAAAGATTTTAAAATACAGGGAGATAGAACAATGTAAATTATAAGGAATGAGGAAGGATTTCATTGCATGAACCATAAAATAAAGTGCTTCTAAGGACATTTTGTGCAAAATGTGGTCCGGGAGAATCTTACATTCAATTACTGAAAGGCACATTGGAATAACCAGGTTTTCAAATTCCTCCTGAAGATTGCCAGTGTGGGGGCTTGCCTAATACCTCTGGGGAGTGAGTTCCAGTGCTGGGGGGCCACCACAGAGAAGGCCCTCTCTCTCGTCCCTGCAAGTCGCACTTGTGATGCGGGCGGGAGCGAGAGAAGAGCCTCTCCGGAAGATCGAAGAGATTGTGTGGGTTCGTAAATGGAAATGCTGTCGTGAAGGTAGGCGGGTCCCAAACTGTTTAGGGCTTTGTAGGTCAAAACCTGTACATTGAATTGGGCCCGGAAAATAAAATATTGTATAAAACTACTTTCAGGCTTTCATATAAGGTGTATATGAAACATAAATGATTTATTTGTTGAGATTTGAGTCCCATCTCCAAGATATTGTATTATGTACAAATATAAAAATATGAGTATTCCAAAATTCAAAACCCCCAAAGCAAAGAAGGTCCTTTAAAAATACGTAACTTTCACATATAGTAAGATGTGTAACAACTGTACTATCTAAGAAGCATTTCTGATGAAGGTTCTACATGAGTCTTACAGTCAGAAATGCATGAATGGATTGAAACCAAAATATATTGTTATTAGAATCTTATTGCACCTAGACATCTATATATCAATACTTAATATATTTAAAGGAAAGGTAGCATTCAGGATAATAAATAAATAAATGTCAAACCTGAATCTTCAAGTCTTCTAAAAAAGCTTCTCCTGAGATTTCTATGTCACCCACATAACACAGGTCAACTTCACTTTGTAAAAATGTCGGTGAATCTTTTAAAAAATCAGAAGTTTCCATTTAAAGAAAGGTAGGTTTCTTCCCAGTTAGTTAGTAAAATGTACTAACACTCCATTGGTTCACTGGCCAGGCCACCTATCGACTCCACATTATTTACCATCACAACAATTCAGATTTTACTCACTCACAAAAACTGTCATTTCTCAGCAAAAACAACAGCTGCATTTGTACATTGAGGAGTGGGGATGGGTGGTAGGGGTGAATGCAAGAATGGTAGAAGGATTACTATATTCCCTCATTCATTCACTAGCATATATGGGGAGAAGAGGGTGGGATAAAGGCTGCATGTGTGCAACTGTTGCTCCCTTGTGCATTCGTGTGGGAAGGGCAAGAGTAAGGAGGAAGGGCACCCAACTGTTCCCTTGCAGGTCAGCTTACTTAAGTGGGTGGGAAGGGAATGGGATTATATATTTCGCATGTATAAAATAATGTTTATGAAGACCCTCCCCTGATTGTGGAGGATCATCGTATCACATAGACATTTTCTGTCTAGGCATATTATGTCTACATCACTATAGCTTATAAGGTACACGGCCTCTCACAGTAACTAAGATCAACTTAAATTTTATTTGCAATATTTGAATGTCATTACTTTCACACATCTTCTACTGAGATATTGGCTCATCTCATATTTCAGTTCAGGCAATCCCTGAATTACAAACACCCGACTTACATATGACTCCTAGTTACAGATGGGGTGAGACAACAGGAAGTGAGAGGAAGTTAGCATGGGAAAAAATGTCTCAAATGAACACTTGTTTCCACAGCAACACAAAAGTATCTGGCCTCTGGGCCTTAGTTTGGGGACCCCTGCTGTAGTAACTTAAAAATGTCCCTGTTCCTACTTACATACGAATTCAACTTAAGAACAAGCCTACAGAACTTGTCTTGGGTTACTGTGAGTTTTCCAGGCTGTATGATCATGTTCCAGAAGAATTATCTCCTGATGTTTCGCCCACATCTATGGCAGGCATCCTCAGAGGTTGGTGAAACGTCAGGAGAGAATGCTTCTGGAACATGGCCATACAGCCTGGAAAACTCATAGCAACCCAGAAATTCCGGCCATTAAAGCCTTTGACAACATTCTTTTGGTCTGGTTGGGGGAGAATATTTGATACATAAATGGAAAACAGTTAAGATGTCTGAACTGATTGTACAGCTAGAGGCAGGGAAGTATATAGAACTGGCTCAAAATAAAAAGATTTCAGATTGACCTAAGCACCAATCTCCCAAATACCAAGATAACTATTCCTTGACAGCGTTGATGCTGATAATGCTTTTCCTAGCACATACCATGCTAGTGAGAACCTCTCCTCTAAAATAGGCTAGATGCATGTTCTCTGTGTATATCTTCTTTTTTGGGTGACCATGTGTTTCCTAATATTGTGCAGGATGCCTTACCAACATATATTTATTATCTATTTTTATTGTTGTTGTTATTGTTATATTATTATTGTTGTTGTTGTTAACTTTATTTCTACCCCACCATTCTCTAATAACGTGGCACAATCTAATAAATTTAACCACATGGCAAATACAACCCCCCCCCAAAAAAACTATTAAATATTTGTTTAAAATACAGTTTACAATAAAATATTTATACAATTAAAATTATGTATTGCAACAATGAAACAACATTAGCTAAAAACTAGCTTCTTCTACTCTGTAAACAGTTTTCCCCTTCATGTATTTTTAGCTTACCTCCAGATGTAGATGGTCCCAGAGCTTCCACTTTTTTGCTGATGCAGTTTACTTGGTCTTGAATATTCTTGATGTGCTTCACCTGAGAGAAAGGTTTGTACCACCAGACAGGTACTTTCAAGAATCCCTTTGAGAATTAATAAAAATATATATGATGTACAGCTAACTAGAGCAAAAGGTCTTGGCTTTAGAGGAGATACTGGCTGCAACACATCTGAACAGAAGATTAATCAAATGGGCGCTCTCGTTCTACAAGAAGGGAATCCCCCATGTCTTTGCAAGTCAGCTTCTGGTGGAGGGGACCAAACAGAACATCTCCCACAGACTTGTTTCACTAAACTCTAACATGGAGCTCTTCTGAAGAGAGATCTGAGATGCAGGTTGGGAGTACATGATCTGCATATTCTTCCGTAGAATATTCCTAGAGCTGTCCTGTTCCACCTTATTCCACATATGGTCTTTGTCCAATTCCACTAAGACGTTTTTTGAATGACAAATTTTACCTAGAAAGGGGTATTGGGGATGTGTGCTCTTTTTTTTTTTTAAGCAATCTTACAACTTAATGGCTGCCAAAGCCCAGGAACTTCCTTTTTTATTCTTTGAGTGAGAACATGAGGGTGGAGAGAATCACAGAGAGGGAGGAACACAGAAAGACTCCGAGCCCCAGGGGAGTGGCGGCATATAAGTTCGAATAATAAATAAATAAATAAATAGACTCATAGAATCATAGAATCAAAGAGTTGGAAGAGACCTCATGGGCCATCCAGTCCAACCCCCTGCCAAGAAGCAGGAATATTGCATTCAAATCACCCCTGCAGATGGCCATCCAGCCTCTGTTTAAAAGCTTCCAAAGAAGGAGCCTCCACCACACTCCGGGGCAGAGAGTTCCACTGCTGAACGGCTCTCACAGTCAGGAAGTTCTTCCTCATGTTCAGCTGGAATCTCCTTTCTTGTAGTTTGAAGCCATTGTTCTGCGTCCTAGTCTCCAGGAAGCAGAAAACAAGCTTGCTCCCTCCTCCCTGTGGCTTCCTCTCACATATTTATACATGGCTATCATATCTCTCTTCTGCTTCATTGACTACTCTAAAGCCTTTGACTGTGTGGATCATCATAAATGGTGGCAAGTCCTTGGTGGGATGGGCATCCCAAGCCCCCTTCCCTCTCTCCTGAGGAATCTGTACAAGGACCAAGTAGCAACAGTCAGAACTGACCACGGAACAACAGACTGGTTCAAGATTGGGAAAGGCGTACGACAAGGCTGCATCCTCTCACCCAACCTTTTTAACTTGTATGCAGAACACATCATGCGATGTGCGGGGCTGGATGAATGCAAAGCTGGGGTGAAAATTGCTGGAAGAAACATTAACAACCTCAGATATGCAGATGACACCACTCTGATGGCCGAAAAGCGAGGAGGAGCTGAGGAGCCTTCTAATCAAGGTGAAAGAAGAAAGCGCAAAAGCCGGGTTGCAGCTAAACGTCAAAAAAACCAAGATTATGGCAACAAGAATGATTGACAACTGGAAAATAGAGGGAGGAAATGTGGAGGCCGTGACAGACTTTGTATTTCTAGGTGCAAAGATTACTGCAGATGCAGACTGTCAGGAAATCAGAAGACGCTTACTTCTTGGGAGGAGAGCAATGTCCAATCTCGATAAAATAGTAAAGAGTAGAGACATCAGACTGGCAACAAAGATCCGCCTAGTCAAAGCCATGGTATTCCCTGTAGTAACCTACGGATGTGAGAGCTGGACCTTAGGGAAGGCTGAGCGAAGGAAGATCGATGCTTTTGAGCTGTGGTGTTGGAGGAAAGTTCTGAGAGTGCCTTGGACTGCGAAAAGATCCAACCAGTCCATCCTCCAGGAAATAAAGCCCGACTGCTCATTGGAGGGAAGGATACTAGAGACAAAGTTGAAGTACTTTGGCCACATCATGAGGAGACAGGAAAGCCTAGAGAAGACAATGATGCTGGGGAAAGTGGAAGGCAAAAGGAAGAGGAGCCGACCAAGGGCAAGATGGATGGATGGCATCCTTGAAGTGACTGGACTGACCTTGAGGGAGCTGGGGGTGGTAACGGCCGACAGGGAGCTCTGGCGTGGGCTGGTCCATGAGGTCACAAAGAGTCGGAAGCGACTGAACGAATAAACAACAACATATCTCCTCTCAGCCTTCTCTTCTTCAGGCTAAACATGCCCAACTCTTTAAGCTGCTCCTCATAGGGCTTGTTCTCCAGACCCTTGATCATTTTAGTCGCCCTCCTCTGGACACATTCCAGCTTGTCAATATCTCTCTTGAATTGTGGTGCCCAGAATTGGACACAATATTCCAGGTGTGGTCTAACCAAAGTGGAATAGAGGGGTAGCATGACTTCCCTAGATCTAGACCAGGGGTCCTCAAACTTTTTGAACAGGGGGCCAGTTCACTGTCCCTCAGACTGTTGGAAGGCCGGACTATAGTTTACACGGGAATATTGTGAAACATTTGTTTTATATATTGTGAAACATTTATTTCTAATTACAAATAAATGAAAATTTGATTTCAAGCATGTCGTAGCATGGGTAACAGGTTTACTATAACAGCAGGAACCCATGAATATGTTTACTGATCAGCCTATTGGCCAAACTTTTTGGCCAATAGTTTGTGGCAGCCACACAGTTTCTGGATGAGAACTACTACTTTCAAAGTAAGGGCCGCACAATTAAACAGAAAATAACACTTTCAAACCAGGAACAGATTTCTGTTCTACAATTTAATATTACGTTTATTTATACACCACTTTTTGTCTCCACAAGGAGACTGTGGGCTCTTCCAGACGCCCTATATCTCAGGATCTGATCCCAGGTTTTCTGCTTTAAACTGGATTATATGAGTCTGCACTGCCAGATAATCTGGGATAAACAGAAAACCTAGGATCAGATCCTGGGATATAGGGCCTGTCTGAAAGGGCCCTTCCAAACAGCCATATAACCCAGAATATCAAGGCAGATAATCCACAATATCTGCTTTGAACTGCATTATCAGAGTCCATGTAAGCCAGTTAAGTGTGGATTTTATACAGCTGTGTGGAAGGGGCCAAAGCAGCTTACATTTCAATACAATTTAAATCTACAAATATATGAAACATTACAATAGAATTAAACATCATTGCTATTCTTTAAAACAGGCATGGGCCAGCTTGGGCCCTCCTTGTGTTTTGGACTTCAACTCCCACAATTCCTAACAGCCAGTAGTGGGAGTGGAATGAAGTCCAAAACACAAGGAGGGCCCAAGCTGGCCCATGCCTGCTTTAAACATTCAATGGAAAGCTATCAAAACACATTCAAAGCTGAATAGGGAAAAGAGACCCTGACATTTGGGAATTGCAGTTCTGAGGATTTATAGTTCACCAGCCATCAAAGAGCATTCTGAGCTCCTCCAAAATGGATCTGAACCAAACTTGGCATACAGAACTCCCATGACCAACAGAACATACTGGGGGGGGGGGGGGGAGAATTATTATTATTATTATTATTATTATTATTATTATTATTATTAAACTCAGTTGGAAGGGACCCCCAAAGGTCATTTAGTCCAGCCCCTTCTTTCTGCCAGGCAGGAAGATAGCATTAGTATATTATTATTATTATTATTATTATTAGACTCATACAATTGGAAGGGACCCCCAAAGGTCATCTAGTCCAGCCCCTTCCTTCTGCCAGGCAGGAAGTTAGAATGACTGCAGGAGCAATAACAACAACAACAACAGTCTCCTGAAGTAAACTGAAGGGCATTGGACTTGAGTTTTGGAGTTGTGGTTTACCTACATCCAGAGAGCACTGTGAACTCAAACAATGATGGGTCTTTACCAAATTTGGCACAAAATCCTGATATGCTGCAAATGGAATACTGGCCTTGGTGTGGCCCCTTGGCGGAGGGCGAGGATGAGGAGGCGGAGCTTAATCTGAATGGAGGGAGGGAGCGGCCAAGTGCCGAAGGAAAGAAGGAAGAAATGGAAAAGCCAGGAAAGGGGAAGGGAGGGAAGGGATTAAGGCCGAAAGAAGGAAGGATGGAAGGAGAGAAGGATATAAGGAAGGAAGGAAAGGGGAAAGAAAGGCAAAAGGAGGGAAGGAAGGGTGAAAGGCAGGCAGGCAGGCAGGCAAGCAGATCGGGGCCTTCCTGCCCCCACCCCCCAGCCCTCAGATGCTCCATCTCCGTCTCCCGTCCGGGGGCAACAGGAGCAGCAAGAGGAGAGTGGCTGGCTAGGAGCGTGGAGAAAAGAGACAGACGTGCCTCCCGCTGCCTGCCAACCTTGCAGCCCCAGCCATGGTGCACCACGCCTCATACACCCTGGAGCTCTACAGGCGGAGATGGAGCATCCGGGGGCTGGAAGGGGGGCAGGAAGGCCCTGATCTGCTTGCCTGCCTTCTCGCTCCCTCCATTCAGACCCAGCACTCACAGCGCCCGCGCCTCTGCCTCCCTCTTCCTTCCCAGCCCCCGAGCGGGGGAGGAGAAGCAACCAGGCTGCTATTGGTTCAGCCGCCCCTGCCAGGGGCCGGATAAATGCCCCCGGTGGGCCGGATCCGGCTCCCGGGCCGTAATTTGGTGACCCCTGATCTAGACACTAGGCTCTTATTGATGCAAGCCAAAATCCCATTGGCTTTTTTTGCCGCCACATCACATTGTTGGCTCATGTTTAACTTGTTGTCCACGAGGACTCCAAGATCTTTTTCACACGTACTGCTCTAGCCATTCTGTATCTTTGCATTTCATTTTTTCTGCCTAAGTGGAGTATCTTGCATTTGTCCCTGTTGAACTTCATTTTGTTAGTTTTAGCCCATCTCTCTAATCTGTCAAGATCGTTTTGAATTCTGCTCCTGTCCTCTGGAGTATTGGCTATCCCTCCCAATTTGGTGTCGTCTGCAAACTTGATGATCATGCCTTCTAGCCCTTCATCTAAGTCATTAATAAAGATGTTGAACAGGACCGGGCCCAGGACCAAACCCTACTTGTGGCACTCTGCTCGTCACTTCTTTCCAGGATGAAGAGAAAGCATTGGTGAGCACCCTCTTTGTTCGTCCATTTAACCAATTACAGATCCACCTCACCGTAGTTTTGCCTAGCCCATATTGGACTAGTTTGCCAGAAGGTCATGAGGGACCTTGTCGAAGGCCTTACTGAAATCCAGGTACGCTACCCAATATCTCCCAATGTCTTAATCTTGCTCACACTGGTATCAGTCAGGGGAAGTGAATAAAGGAATAAATTTGGAGGCTAGACAGAGCCAGAACTTGGATTGGAGGCTATTAACGCCCACCAGGTGGTGTAGGCTGAATTTGAGAATTTGCAAAACTACATTCGAGTATTCCTTGCCTAAGAAAAACTTATGGAATTCAATGGGGTTTCCATAAGTTAATAGGCAACTTGAAGAGAAATATTCAGAAACTGAGCTTATGTGAAGAAAGCTGCATGAAATGAACCAGCCCAAAGCTATAATTGCTTCAATTTTGTGACTCATTTTTTTCTAAAGAAACCCATGATGTTTAATATTACTTCTTTCCTTTATAAAATAGGTGAGCTTAATGTGTTAAAATGGGAAGAGGGTGAATGAAAGAGTGAGAAGGGTCCTCAACCAATTAGTGACTGGCTCAAAGTCTCCCAATGCATTTCAAGGATGAGGAGTAGTAGTCTGAACACAAGTCTCCCTATTCTTGATTAAAAGTTAACTACTGTAATACGATGCAACCAATTTACTTTACCTTTGGTGGAAGCTTCCCCTCAGCAACATTCAAAATGTCTCCACTGCAGATACTAAGGTCCTTTAGGGTTGCATTCTGTGAAAACAAAACGAAGACAAAGGATTGTACAAAAGTTAACCAACAAGGATGAAACAAATGTTTTTATTTTAAAATTTTAAAAGTTAAAACAGCGCAGTCACTGAGCTGCATTTTTCCATGGCAGGCCCCTCCAAAAGCACATTCTAATTCATACAGAATACTAGTTTTTAACTAACTGAATAATCAGCTATCGTGTATGGCTAACAACAATATTAACACAATTTTTGTTTCTGGATTATAAATATCATTTCTTAATTCTATCATGAAAACATGATTTTTTATTAAAATGCAAAAACTTGTTTTTGCGAGACATCCTGTAGCACATTGTGCTATTGTTTTCAATTAATCTTTCATAAAGTCTCAACCGATGCAACAGTTTGTGGCAGCCACAAAAACAAAGTTTCTGGAGTATAATAACTACTTTCAAAGTAAGTAACACACAATTAATCAGAAAATAACACTTTCAAACCAGGAACAGATTTTTTTTTCAAATTTTGTTACATAGTGCAATTTTTATGGTGTGTTCGAAAAATAACACTGAAAGGACAACTTGTTTATGTATACATTACCCCTTTTACCTCCTCGTTTAATGGTTCCCCAGCTTCATAACACCAGTCAATCTTTCTCAAATGCCAGTCATCTCCTGGATACAAAACAATTGAAAATCATGCTGAAAATATATTCTCACATGCATACATACATACATACATCAATTTATTAAAGCTCACAAGAGTATATAGCTATGAAAATTCGGTACTAAGACTCCTTGATCCTACACTTTCTTTAGTGCTTTCGCCTTGTTTTCCACACTCTATTCTTTCTTGTTATTTTTTTTTCTGAAAAAGACTAGTAGTCTGAATGCCTTTGGCTTAGCCCAATATATTCCTTCACTCCATTACCTGGCAGAAGAACCTGGTTCTGTTAATGATTTGAAGAGGACATATGGAACTGCCCAGTTGACTGGAGCAATTAATATCCTAGGCCTAACTGCACCTTCTGACTTGCTGCTTACCTTCTACCAGTTGATAATAGAGCTAAAGGCCACAGGATAGATTTTAAGGAACCTGAGGAAACTACCATATATCCTCATATATAAACTGACTTCATGGAATCATAGAGTTGGAAGAGACCTCATGAGCCATCCAGTTCAACCCCCTGCCAAGAAGCAGGAAAATTGCATTCAAAGCACCCCTGACAGATGGCCATCTAGCCTCTGTTTAAAAGCCTCCAACGAAGGAGCCTCCACCACACTCTGGGGCAGAATTCATGTATAAGTTGAGGCCAAAACTATGGATGACTTCACAGTTTTAGAGCTATGTCAGAAACAGACACACAGCAGCACACATTATTTTATTATTAAGGACAATACACCAGTTTTGAGATAGATCTGTTGCCTCTTTTTGACACATTTCAATAGCATTGAATCTACAAAAACACTAGATGTGAGGGATTCTTTAGTAGACAAAATTCCAGAAACTGTTATAATCTCAAATGACTCTATCAGCTTCCAACAATAATTTGAAGCTAGCCCTGCTAATGGTAAAAGTTCAGAATTATTCTAATCTTTGAATGATATCACAGGATAATATTATTTTCTTTATCCAATCCATCAATGAACTACACTGATTGATAAATGCATCTAGAGATGACAAAATAATATATGTTTTTCTATTAAAGGCTTCTACATAATATTTATACTAACCTGTCAAACCAGATTTCTTCAGCATTAAGTTTAGACACTGAAAAAAAAAACAGTGTGTGAAATTAATACAGTTTCATTACTGGAAAAGACAGAATTTCATAATTGGAAGCCAAATACATCTTGACAATATTTCTTTCAGAATATTTTGGGGCAATAACACATGCATGCATAAAACTCTGAAATATGGCTACTTTTCAGTTCCAATGTGAAATTACATTGTTGTCCAATTTACACCATACTTCTCTGTAGGGATGAAATAATAATCAGAAAACTTTTCATCTTTAATGAAAATGGGTCCCTCAAAACTATAAAATGCCCACAGGGGGAAATGCTAAGAGAAACTTTTGTCTTCCCCCTGAAAATTCAGTCCTTTGTGGAAATTTTTGCAAATTTTTGCAAAAGGTTTGTTTGTGTAAAAAACAACATTGTAGTTTATACAAAAACACATTATTTTTGCTTAACAAGTGTTTTGTGGAACGTAACGCTTTTCATAAGAAATCTTTTGGAATGGAAAAAACTTTCTGCACAAACTAATTTATGAACATTTCACAAAAAGATCCCAAATACAATTAAATTCTCATACACATGCATCAACTTCTGCAATTTGCACAGCAGCCATTACTGCTATTTGAGCTCAAAACAAATAAAGATCCCAACTTCTCAAGCACTGCTGATTACACTATGCAACTTGATTTTTGATCCTGGGTTATAAATGTCATTTCCTAGCAAGTTTTTCAATTTTTGTTACATAGTTATTTATAATCCATACTAGCAAGGTGCTTCTTGTTTCAAAGAAGGGAATAGGCAGGCTGCTGTTACTATCACAAGAATATACAGCTGGCATGTCTTACAAAAGCAGAAAGAAGCAGTGGGATTGAGAAATTGCAAACAGCCTCTCCCCCCCCCCCCATTTTGGCTAGTTAAATCCTTATTTTATTTTTCACTCCTGATTCCATCACCACAATAGAAATAAACTGTCTAATAAACAAACAAGTATACTTCTCACTAATATGATCAATGTTATTTTATAATAATCTATATAAATAAAAATGTAATGTTCGTTTGTGGTATTCACAGAACTCAAAAACCACTGGACGAATTGACACCAAATTTGGACACAAGACACCTAACAACCCAATGTATGTCCTTCACTCAAAAAATTGATTTTGTCATTTGGGAGTTGTAGTTGCTGGGATTTATAGTTCACCTACAATCAAAGAGCATTCTGAACTCCACCAATGATGGAATTGAACAAAAAAGGGCACACAGAAAACACTAGGAGGGTTTGGTGTGCATTGACCTTGAGTTTGGGAGTTGTAGTTCACCTACATCCAGAGAGCACTGTGGACGCAAACAATGATGAATCTGGACCAAACTTGGCACAAATATTCCATATGCCCAAATATGAACACAGGTGGAGTTTGGGGGAAATAGACCTTGACATTTGGGAGTTGTAGTTACTGGGATTTATAGTTCACCTACAATCAAAGAGCATTAACTCCACCAACGACGGAATTGGGGCAAATTTTCCACACAGAACCCCCATGACCAACAGAAAATACTTAAGGCCATCCAGTCCAACTCCCTTCACCAGGGCAAGAAAATCTAATCAAAGCCCTCCTGACAAAGAGCCATCCAGCCATAGATAGAGATAGATCTATATGATTCACACACACACAGATATAGTATCCTAGATTTGAAAGAGACCCTTAAAGAAGGACAGTGATATGTTGCATGTTCCAGAGTAGGCAAACCAGACACTCTCCACATCAACACTGATAAAGAAACAGCAAGAAATACTGTTTACCCACAAGCAGAAAGAAATTCCATAGATTAGAAACCATTGCTTTATTTTCCAGATCACCAGACTGGGCCACAGCAACGCGTGGCAGAGGACCGCTAATATATAATAAAACATATATTGTGGCTTAGACTCGACATGGTAGTTTATGAGGGAAGATACAGGTTTTAAACTATAATACATAAATACCAAAACAATCTTGTGGATTATCCCTTCCCACACAAATTAATTAACAGGGACTTTAGTTAACTGCACTTTGATTACACAGATTAGCATGGTAGTCCTAATACATCGATTTATTTTCACACTTTCAAGCACAGTGCAAGAAGGTAAGGTATGTTAACGTAGAGGTTATATTTTAAAAGCACAGGAAGCTTTCCACAGCATTTTCAGATAATTTACCTCTTTTACAGTAGCAGTCTCCTCCATCACTATTTCTTTCTCTGGACTACACTGAAGATCATGACCAACAATAAAATACAGGAAAAGCTAAGAGAAAGATAACACATCAAGTTTTTAAAAATAAGTTTTCCTTAAAGCACATTTTAAATGGATTTAAATAATATATTCAAAGTGGGGCAACTTGGACTCCAGCTTTGATCAGCCCAAGAGAGCACGTCAAATGCTAGAAATGACCGGGAGACTCCATCAACACATAGAAAGCTGCCAGCTGCTCACTCTGGTATATTTTCAGATACAAAGTTAGCCCAATTCCATCTGGAACTGAATCTAGTAGAGCTTACTAATGAGTTAGTTATGCACAGAACTGCTCGCAAGGGACCTTTTGTGTCCAAATATCACAGCATGCAATATAGCAGTTTCACAAATTTCAGATTCAATATCAAAACATAGGTTATTTATTCTTTATTTTTGCATATTGAGAGGGTTATTCTTGTGGATGAGTCTCTGAGTAGTAGTAACAACAGGGAGTTGGAGACTAGGTAGGCAAAAAGGTCTACTCGGGAGCAAGAATCTATTGAAGAGCAACAGCAGAAGAGAATTCGGCAAATACTTACTGAACCTACTGATGAAGAGTCTTTTGAAGGTTTTGATGGGGATGATGGGTTTGGCAATGAAGCAGATTCTATGAGAAGTGCTGGGAGTGACACTGATGGGGTTGGGGATGAGATGGATTGGACAAAAGTAGCAGAAGTGAGAGAAGTGTGTGAGGAGCCTACAAGTAGTGACACATTCAGAGGGTTTGCTGGGGATGAAACTTGGAGGGAGGATGATTTGTCTACTGTTTGGGGAGATGTAAGTAGAAGCAGGAGAAGGACCTATTGGCAGGCAAGGCAAAGAGCAGCTCGGGCAGCACAACTGGTGTAGTTTGGAGGAGAATGCAGGAGCAGTTGAGGGTGGGGCGTTGTCTCATTGTAACTCAAAGGAAAGTTTGTAATATAAGGAGGGTTGGTTGCAATGGGGACTTTGCGACTGGCAAAGTGTTTGTTGGGTTGCCTGCTACGTTGGGTTGTGATTCCTGTGATCCCTGAACTTCGTGGATCCTCTGCTACTACTTTGAATCGCTTCTGGACATCGCCTTCGTTTTTCTGCCCTGATCTTGGATTGGACATTTGACGCTGCTGCTGTGGTACCCTGTTTGCTGTGGATGACCCCTGGACCGGCTTGACTACGACTTTGCTACACCCTGGAACATGCTTGCTGAAACGATAGCGAGTGTCCTTTCCTTTGCTGTGTATTTTGGTTAATGGGTTGGGATTTTTAGGACTTTGGGACTCTTTGATTTGCCTTCTTTTTGACCAGTTGGTCTGTGTTTTGTTTTGGGAATACTATTTTGCTGCTGTTAAGCATTTTTTGTTCTTTTGAGCTGTACCTTCAATAAACTGTTGTTACTTTGCACTTGGGACTAACTTTGTGGCGTCTGTACCTTGACAGCTATAGCTTTGCAGCACAGCACAAACTTCCCAGGCAAATGATACAGATTCAACTGTCCTATCTTTTCTAAATAAAAGGTGTCAGGCAGTAGGTTGGAATTTACTTTTCTGTTTCTGAGTCTATTGTGAACATGAGCTGTTGTGAATAAGAATAGAAAATACTGATGATAAAAAGCAGCTTCTGTTAATTTGTATGTTCAATAAATAGTAAGCAATGTTTAAGAAGACACTGTTAAAGTAAACAATCCTCGTAAGAGTCTAGGTATTGGGGTGTCAAAAGAACTAGCTTAAAATCAGGGCCCTTTTCAATACTATTTCAAAGTAAAATTGTTACAACTGGTATTTAAGGGAACTAGCTATATAATAGGACAGATATTATCACTCACAGTTCTCTAGCTGTGAATCAACATAGTTGAGATCACAGCTAAGAAACTATAGTTCTCAAAATCGGCCAGCTAACCTGACTAGATACATCACAAACAGTGTACATTTCAACGAATTCAGTCTGAGGTTATGTAATTCCTTAACACTGTAATAAAGTTTTTATCAAAGAGAAAATTTATGATACTAACATCAGTCTCAATATTTACAATAAAGTATAAATACATGAAAAGTATTAAATAGGAATATTCTCACAAAAATTGCTGATATTGCTTATTTTACCTGAGTGGCTGTTGGAGCTTTTCCAGAGCAAAGGCCTAGTAAGCTTCCCATTTTGAGCTCTGCTTCTTTAACCGTATAGTCCTCAGGCACTTAATGGGCAGAGTTTTTAAAAAACACATACATTTAAAAAATGAAAATAAGTGCAAAAAGTATTTTTAAAAATCATAAATATAAAAGTTAATATTAGAAAGCTGCAACCATGGAAAACAGTAGCCAGAACCTTGCATTGAGGAGATGTAGTTTGGAACTTACAGAACTATGTAAATCTATTAAATGCAACCATCCACAATCCCCCGTCCCCCCATTTTCATTCTTGTGACCCTCCCTGAACAGTTATTTCTCTATCAAGGCCAAGATCTATTGGAAATTCCCAGTGTCAAGACCTTGCGTCTAACAGCAACCAGATGCAGAGCCTTTACAGCAGTGGCACCATCACTCTGGAATACTCTGCCACCTGAAGTCCGTGCCTTGCGGGACCTATCAGCTTTCCAGGGCATGTAAGACATATCTGTTTTGACAGGCCTTTGATCTCTGATATTGTTGTTTTTAAATTGTTTTAAATTGTTTTTAAATTGTGTTAGATTTTAGCCTGTTCTTGTAAGCCGCTCTGAGCCCCAGGGGAGTGGCGGCATATAAGCTTGAATTATAAATAAATAAAATAAATAAGGTGATCAGTTGTTACATGTGCATCCATTTCACTTTAGCATTACAAAAAGACACCCACAGGAACTGCCAAAAAGTCCTTGGGAGGCCTCTGCAGATGATGTTTACATTTGCCCCAAGTGTAAACAAATCACTCACATGGAACACAGGATCCGACAACTCGAGGACCATATTAAGACCCTTAAGGGCATTCAGGAACTCGAGCCGTTCTTAGACACCACACAGCATGCTGTCCTAGACACGCAGCCCATATCACATCAACATTATGGGGAGGCTCAAGAGGAGATCACCTCAGATGTGGACAACCCTCAGGCTTGGAGGAATGTCACCCTTAGAAAGGGACATAGGACCCGGAAGCCTCCTCAGAATACTTCTGCTCAGCTGCAGTTACACAATAGATTCCAAATTCTCACACAGCTATCACTTGACCAAGAAACACAACACATTGAGGAAGACCAGAATGGCTTAGATACTGATCAGTGGCTCGTCCTTGATCAGTGTGTGGGGGATAGCCCTGATTGGGACAACACTTCACAACATTCACACTTACACAATCATGCAGGTGTACCATCCCCAACCATAGACCAGGTGCAACAGGAACACATACAGGAGAACGCTAGGCTCTTGGACGAATCTCAATGGATTGTCCTTGATGAATGCACTGGGGATGTCGAGGAGGAGGACAACACTTTACACCTACACAATTCACACCAACAGGATCACTTTTCTGGGGACCTACACACTACATTGCGCAAAAGGGGCCCTGCCAATCCTGAAAGTAAACAGGTCTTGGTAGTAGGCGACTCCCTCCTTAGAGGAACGGAAGCCGTCATTTCCAGACCGGATGGGATGGCTCGAGAAATATGCTGCCTACCGGGGGCAAAAATACACCATATCACTCAGAGGCTCACCAGGCTCCTCAAGCCCCATCACCGTCCTCCCCTCATGTTGATTCATGTAGGAACCAATGATACTGCTAGGCATACTGTTCAAAAGATCACAAATGATTTTCGAGCTCTAGGAACAAAGCTAAAACAATGTAATGTACAGGTGGTCTTTTCATCCCTCCTCCCAGTCATAAAACACGGTCCTACAAGGGCCAGAAAAATAGTACAGGTCAATAACTGGCTTAGAAAATGGTGTCAGGAGGAACGCTTTGGCTTCCTTGACCATGGCCTGCTTTTCCAGGAGGATAGCCTACTGGCAAGGGATGGGGTGCATCTCACACAAGTAGGAAAACACCTTTTTGCTCACAGACTCGCAAACCTCATTAGGCGCACTTTAAACTAGGCCCACCGGGGGAGGGGGACAACAGCCTTGCGAACACTACTTTACCCAGAATGTCAGGGAACCGCCAGAAGGCTAAACGGAGGGCTGCACAAACACAAAAAGGACCAAGTACCGAAAGCACAATAATCCCAATTAAACAGCTCAGGGGAAGATCTCAGGGGCTCACATGTCTTTACACTAATGCACAGAGCATGGGAAATAAACATGACAACTCCAACTTTTAGCACAACACCACAAATATGATATCATAGGCATCACTGAAACCTGGTGGGATGACTCCTATCGCTGGAATGTAGACATCGAGGGCTATAACCTCTTTCACAGAAACCGAACAAAGGGGAGAGGAGGCGGAGTAGCCTTATATGTCAAAAACTCTTATGCTGCAGAAGAAATGCATGACAGCAATCCGGGAAACCAGCTTGAAAGCATCTGGATATGAATCAAGGGAACTGGGACTCAAAAAGATCTTGTTGTAGGAGTCTACTACAGACCTCCAAGCCAGGAGGAAGAACTTGATGAAGTCTTCTGCCAACAGTTGACCAAACAGGCACAGAGAAGAAGTAGTAGTCATGGGCGATTTCAACTATCCCGATATTTGCTGGAAAACAAACTCGGCCAAGAGTACAAGGTCCAACAAATTCCTCGCTTGCCTTGCAGACAATTTCATGGTCCAGAAGGTAGAAGAGGCAACAAGGGGATTGGCTACTCTTGATCTCATCCTAACAAATGCGGAGGACCTGATCGATGCGGTTGAAGTGGTAGGATCCTTAGGGGCAAGTGACCATGTGCTCCTGCAATTTGAGGTACAAAGGAAGGCCGAAACTAAGACAAGTCAAACCCGCATTTTGGACTTTAGGAGAACTGATTTCCAAAAAATGAAGGAAAGACTGAGCAGCATTCCGTGGACACTGATACTAAAAGACAAGTTACTGATGGATGGGAGTTTTCCAAGAGTGAAATACTCAAGGCACAATTGCAAACAGTGCCAACAAAAAGAAAAATTAGGACAAGTGCAAAGAAGCCAGAATAGATGTCCAAAGAACTTCTAACTGTGCTAAGACAAAAGAGACATGCACAAGAAGTGGAAAAAGGGAGAAATCACCAAAGAAGAATTCAAACAAATAGCCAAATCCTGTAGGGAAAAGATTCGCAAGGCTAAAGCACAAAAACAGCTCAGGCTTGCCAGGGACATTAAAAACAATAAAAAGGGATTCTTCTTATGTCAGTAGAAAAAGGAAAAACAAGGAGGCGATAGGGCCTCTTCGAGGAGAAGATGGGGCAATGCTGACAGGGGATAGGGAAAAGGCAGAACTACTTAATACCTTCTTTGCCTCGGTCTTCTCACAAAAAGAAAGTCATCTTCAACCTCAGCAAGACGGAGTGGATGAGGGATTTGAGGACATCCAACTCCAAATTGGGAAACAAGTCGTACAGGAATACCTGGCCGCTCTAAATGAGTTCAAGTCCCCAGGGCCAGATCAACTACACCCAAGAGTATTGAAGGAACTAGCGGAAGTCATTTCGGAACCATTGGCAACCATCTTTGAGAGTTCTTGGAGAACGGGAGAAGTTCCAGCAGATTGGAGGAGGGCCAATGTGGTCCCAATCTTCAAGAAGGGAAAAAAGGATGACCCAAACAATTACGTCCGGTCAGCCTCACGTCGATACCAGGCAAGATTCTGGAAAAGATTGTTAAGGAAGTGGTCTGCAAACACTTAGAAACAAATGCGGTCATCGCTAATAGTCAACATGGATTTATCAAAAACAAGTCATGCCAGAATAATCTGATCTCTTTTTTCGATAGAGTTACAAGCTGGGTAGATGCGGGGAATGCCGTGGATGTAGCGTACCTGGATTTCAGTAAGGCCTTCGACAAGGTCCCCCACGACCTTCTGGCAAGGAAACTAGTCCAATGTGGGCTAGGCAAAACTACGGTGAGGTGGATCTGTAATTGGTTAAATGGACGAACCCAGAGGGTGCTCTCCAATGCTTCCTCCTCATCCTGGAAAGAAGTGATGAGTGGAGTGCAGCAGGGATCCGTCCTGGGCTTGGTCCTGTTCAACATCTGTATTAATGACTTAGATTAAGGGTTAGAAGGCATGATCATCAAGTTTGCAGATGACACCAAATTGGGAGGGATAGCCAATACTCCAGAGGACAGGAGCAGGATTCAAAATAATCTTGACAGATTAAGAGATGGGCCAAAGCTAACAAAATGAAGTTCAACAGTGACAAATGCAAGATACTCCACTTTGGCAGGAAAAACAAAATGCAAAGATACAGAATGGGGGACAATGCCTGGCTCGAGAGCAGTACGTGTGAAAAAGATCTTGGAGTCCTCGTGGACAACAAGTTAAACATGAGCAAACAATGTGATGTGGCGGCAAAAAAAGCCAATGGGATTTTGGCCTGCATCAATAGAAGCATGGTTTCTATTCTGCTTTGGTCAGACCACACCTGGAATACTGTGTCCAATTCTGGGTACCACAATTCAAGGGAGATGTTGACAAGCTGGAATGTGTCCAGAAAAGGGCAACTACAATGATCAAGGGTCTGGAGAACAAGCCCTATGAAAAGTGGCTTAAAGAGCTGGGCATGTTTAGCCTGAAGAAGAGAAGGCTGAGAGGAGATATGATAGCCATGTATAAATATGTGAGAGGAAGCCACAGGGAGGAGGGAGCAAGCTTGTTTTCTGCTGCCCTGGAGACTAGGACGCGGAACAATGGCTTCAAACTACAAGAAAGGAGATTCCATCTGAACATTAGGAAGAACTTCCTGATCTGAGAGCTGTTCAGCAGTGGAACTCTCTGCCCTGGAGTGTGGTGGAGGCTCCTTCTTTGGAAGGCTTTGAAACAGAGGCTGGATGGCCATCTGTCAGGGGTGCTTTGAATGCAATTTTCCTGCTTCTTGGCAGGGGGTTGGACTGGATGGCCCATGAGGTCTCTTCCAACTCTTTGATTCTATGATTCTATGTCTTGGGAGTCCTTGGGAGGCCCCTGCAGATGATGTCTTTCCAGCATTTCCAGCAAAAGAGGCTGCTAATCTTGCATTTATTCGTCCCGCCTTGCCCATGACATAGAAATGGCTGTGTTGGGGAGGGAAGCCCAAGAAGAGAATGTAGAAGGATCTAAAGCAGACAAAAGCATGACTGATTGATCTCTCATGTGATTAATCTGATAAAAATCCTAATTATTTCATGACACATCTAAACTATGTTTTCATTCTTAGCATACTGTAAATATGTACTCTCTGCTATGTGTTTGTATCTCTAAGCATAGCTAACAGTATGAGATTACGGAATTTCTGTTCCAAACCATCAACAGGGCCAGGATGGCTCTGATTTATACGTTACATTACCTGGACAGAGAAGTTTTCCATTTTTGCCAATGGGTCTGAGGCAGCTATTATTAACTGAAATTTGAAAAAAAGAATTTAAAAATGAAATAAATACATGAAGAATAACGATCAAGAATAACAATTAACTCAAGACTACAAGCATTTAAAAGACAACAGGTAAGATATGGAAATCAGGTGTGAAATACTCAAGAAACTGAACTAGAGAGCAAGGCACTGTCTTCTGCTAGTTACATAACACTGTACTTCGCAATATGTCCAACTTCTTTATTTATTGTGTTCTGGAAAATAACATATGCCTCTCTAAACTCTACTCAGCAACCATACAATTCCTGTTGCAGCAAATCATCCTATGAGATTTTCAATAGTACTGTAGTTGGGTTGTTGTAGGTTTTTTCAGGCTATATGGCCATGTTCTTGAGACATTTTCTCCTGACGTTTCGCCTGCATCTATGGCAAGCATCCTCAGAGGTAGTGAAGTCTATTGGAACTAGGAAAGTGGGTTTATATATCTGTGGAATGACCAGGGTGGGACAAAGAACTCTTGTCTGGTTGGAGCTAGGTGTGAATGTTTCAACTGACCACCTTGATTAGCATTTGATGGCCTGGCAGTGCCTGGGGCAATTTTTTGTTGGGAGGTGATTAGATGCTGGTTGTTTCCTCTCTGTTGTTTTGCTGTTGTAATTTTAGTTTTTTTAATACTGGTAGCCAGATTTTGTTCATTTTCATGGTTTCCTCCTTTCTGTTGAAATTGTCCACATGCTTGTGGATTTCAATGGCTTCTCTGTATAGTCTGACATGGTGGTTGTGAGAGTGGTCCAGCATTTCTGTGTTCTCAAATAATATGCTGTGTCCAGGTTGGTTCATCAGGTGCTCTGCTATGGCTGACTTCTCTGGTTGAAGTAGTCTGCAGTGCCTTTCATGTTCCTTGATTCGTGTCTGGGCAATGCTGCGTTTGGTGGTCCCTATATAGACTTGTCCACAGCTGCATGGTATACGGTAGACTCCTGCAGAGGTGAAATGATCCCTCTTGTCCTTTGCTGAATGTAGCATTTGTTGGATTTTCTTGGTGGGTCTGTAGATAGTTTGTATATTGTGTTTCCTCATCAGCTTCCCTATGCGGTAATCCACAAGCATGTGGACAATTTCAACAGAAAGGAGGAAACCATGAAAATGAACAAAATCAGTATTATAAAAACTCTAAAATTACAAAATTACCCTCCTCCAGATGTCAACTGAATCACAAGCCAGCTTTACTCCTTTGGGGACTTCACTGATTTGGGGAGGCAAGCACAGAGCAAAGCAAACACAGCCACCACTTCAATAAGCACTTTTCAAAGCTGCAGCTCCTATCTTTTGCCCTTCTAATAAGGGGGTTAGGAATGGAGCATCACTTGGGACTTCCAGGGACTGGGTGGGCCACCCTGGCAAGCCCAGGTTCCCTATTGCTGTTATAAAATGGCAGAAGATTGTTTCTGGAATCATACAGGTGCCTTTGTGCAACAGGGCCTTGTCACAACTAAAGTGGGGAATTTTGGGAGGCTGCAAATAGGCAGGGGTGTTGTGTGGTTTCTGAGCTGTGTGACCATGTTCTAGCAGCATTTTTCCTGATGTTTCAGGAAATGCCATGAGAAAATGCTGCTAGAAAATGGCTATGCAACGTCCCATTTATTCCAGCCATGAAAGCTTTGACAATACAAAAATAGGCACCATTCACTTTTTCATCTTAATTCAGTTTTTTCGCAAACAGAAAGAGCATTTATGTTTCTATAAGGGACCCGCTGGATCCAACTAAAATCTCATCCTATGTGCTCTTATAATAGTATTCAATGCCAACTCTGAAAAACAAAGGCAACTAACTTAAATTACATATGGAAAACTATTTTACCTAGCTCCTTGTCCAACTGCATTTCCTCAATGGCCTTAATTCGGATATCTGATATCATCTAAAAGTAAAAAACATTAATCTATTTCCAAGAGATAATAAACTGAAGAGGCACAGACTGTTTTTTATCTAGACATTGTTTTATCTTTTCATTGTGAAAGCAGTAATCAGATTAATCTCTCTCTCTCTCGCCTCTTCTCCCTCACAAAGAAAAAAACCCCAATTGCTTCTGTATTATTGATGTTATAAAGAAATGAAATGGTGAAGAAACCCACTTTAATTTGGAAAGAAGGATCTGGCATTAGGATTTTTATGGGTACAGGCAATTCTATGGTCAACTTCTACTGGAAGTTGATCATAGAGTGATGCTGGAGGACTTAGAGATTCACAGAAGAAACATTTCTCTAGGAATCTCTAGGTCAGTGGTTCTCAACCTGTGGGTGCTCCAGGTCCTGCAGTATGTTTCTGTGGTCAACTTTCTGCAGCGGTTAACCACAGTCATGCTGAAAAACCTGATAAAAATAACAATTTTATGCTCCTATACCCAATAAATATGGTTGACTGACTGTATTAAACCCCCTCTTTTTATTTTTTTTATTTTTCACCAAAAGATACTGACTAGTCAATGAATTTCAATTTAATTTGCATAGTTTTTTCTGTGCTATGCAACAAGTCATGGCATTATGAACATTCTTATGCATCCTAAGACTTTAAGAACCTTTTGTTGCATGCCAACTTGGTAAAAAAACCTAGTAAAAACATATCTTGCTAATATGCAGGGTAAAGGTAAAGGTTTAGGTTTTCCCTTGACGTTAAGTCTAGTTGTGTCAGACTTTGCGTGGTGATGCTCACTTTCATTTATAAGCCGAAGAGCTCACGTTGTCCATAGACACCTCCAAGGTCATGTGGCTGACATGACTGCATGGAGCGCCATTACCTTCCCACCGGAGTGGTAAATATTGATCTACTCACATTTGCTTGTTTTTGAAGTGCTAGGTTGGCAGAAGCTGGGCTAACAGCAGGATCTCACCTCGCTTCCCGGATTTGAACTGCCAACTTTTCAATCAGCAAGTTCAGCAGCAGCTCAGCAGTTTAACCAGCTGTGCCACCAGGGGCTCCACTACATATTTGCAGAGTACGTGCTGCAAATATGTATTGTAATTTTGACACACTTTTCCTGACAGTTGTCTGAGTACAAAAAGTAAGCATAGCAACAAAAAAAATTTCAGAGAGCCCCACTCCAGTCATGTAAACATATCTCCCCTGCACATACATTTTTCACCTTAAATTTGGGCAGTTCTGATATCAATTTAGGAAGCAAACTGTGAATCAATCCCAGATGTTGTTGTTACAAACATAGAGACATCTTCAGGTCCTTTCCCCCTTCCCTATAAGCATTGAAAAACACAAGCAGCAAAAATAACAAGAGTAGCCATTTCCTGGATTCACACAAGTTAAGAATGAAAACAAAATAAGTAGCTGGACTGAATGGAAGGAAATGAGTCACAGGAGATGTAGCCTCTCAGAGCCATGCACAATCACAATGTCTGTTACTTACTGTTTCAACGGTTGCAGTAATTTTAACTTGCATCTCTTCAGCCTCCAATTTACAGATTTTTTTTACTTGTAACCAGCTGATATCATGCGTAAAAGCAGTCAAATTGCCGCCTGCCACATTCACCATGCTGCAAACAACACATGCTTAGAATGCATAATTATGCACCACATGTAAGACAAAATGCAAGGAAATGTACAACTGTACTAATGTACGCAAATAAAGGCCCAGCAGGATATGGTCTTATGCAAACAGCTCTTGAAACAAATAACTATCGCAGCACAATCCCCTTCCTCAATGTGACCAAGTCGTGTCAGGAGTGACTCCTGGTGTGAGAGAATTGACCGTCTGCAAGGACGTTGCCTGGATGATTTGATGTTTTTATCATCCTTGTGGGAGGCTTCTCTCATGTCCTCGCATGAGGAGTTGGAACTGATAGAGGGAGCTCATCCGCCTCTCCCCGGATTCGAACCTGTGACCTGTCGGTCTTCAGTCCTGCCGGCACAGGGGTTTAACACACTGCACCACCAGGGGCCCCTAATGTGACCAAGTGACAGGCAATAGATATGCTAATATCAGAAATCCCATCACCAGATTTTAAATTTGACTATAGTCAATATTGTGATCCTATAAGATGCACCCCCTCAACCCCCCTCCCATATCTACCTTTTCCCTTCTCCTCTTGTTATCTGAATACTGCTATAAATGAGTACTAATATGACTAATATAAATGTGAGACAGGGGTCCAACCTCTAAAAGACCCATCTCACAAACTATCTATCTATAGTTAGACATAGGGAAGAAAACAAAAGGACCTGCCCATCAAGATTAGAGAAAACAAGACATATGCTGAAGGAAAGTTCATATAGCATTTCAACCTACAGGTTGGTATCCAAACTACATAAATACTTTTGCAAATTCGAACAGTGTCAGTTTGCCTATCTAAATATGAAACCTCACCTAGATCACTGCAAAGCAATCTCTCTTCTGATCATATCAATTACCTAACACACTACAGCGAGTTGATGTTCAAAGTAAAACATTCAAGACCATACTGAAAGCATGGCAGCTGTGGCTTCAATTCTGTTCATGGTGATTTCCAGCCACACTGCTACTGTATGAACTGATTGTGTGATTAAGAACATTATTGGATTTTGAAATATTTTGGTGAATGTTATCATGAAAGACATTCTTCAGGAAGGAACACCTTCATACCTCAAAAGTACACACAATCTCATCTAATTTTGGAAGTGAAGAATCAAAGCATCAGGTTGTACTAGAGACCATGAAGAGTTTATGGAGGAATCCTGCCTAAACCCCCCCCCAAAACCTTGGCCATTTTTAACAATCCTAAACTGACTATGGTATAAAGTTCCTGTGTACCTCAGACCATGCTGAATTAATACATCTGTTTGCATCCTGATAAGTATTTCTAAAAGTGTATCCTGTGAATACTGATTTCAAAGAAATGAATTCAGACCGCTTAAATGCAAGTATGACACCATCTGGTGTGGGATATATCTTTGGATTTATCCAAAGCAGGCTAACATCTACATTATCATTATTGCAAACAGTGCCATCAAAAAATCTCTAGAAATACATATTTTAGTATACACATTTGAATATTACACTTTTGTTACAGAGAAAATTAAGCTATAAAATATCATTTTTTAAACTAAATTAACGTAGGAACAAAATGACATGTAAGTTCTCTCTCAGAAAAAGATCTATGGGGAAAATGACAGAAGTAGCACGATGCCCTTGAAAGAAACATCTTGAAACTCTAGTTCCAAAGGGTTAAAAGCAAATGCTGGATAAGGAAATCAGCTTTTAAAAAACTAACTTATGAAAACTAGTTATGTCAGCCTCATTCAGAACTGGTCAGCCTGGTTAAATCTCGATATACTAATTCTTTAAACCGCTTGTTTCTCGTCAGGGTAAGTCTTTGGCATAGGGAGGAAAACCATAGCCTCCTTGCCACTATTTTTCCCCTATATAAAGTCAACAGGGGAGTTTTTTTAACTTCAACATGAACCACCCATCACCACCACCTTGGTTCTCTTTCATGATATCTAACACTATAAACAGCATGAACATGCCAATCCTCATTCAAATGGAAAGATTGGGGGGGACGGGGACGGGGGGGACTGGGCTACCAAGTTTAGATTAGGGAGGAATTATGATCTCAAACAACTAATGCTGGCTAAGATGATTAGGAAAATAGTAGTAGGATTTTGTAAAAGACACATAATGCCTACGAAAATTGCAAAAATCAGCTCAGATTTCTTACAGGTTCAATCTTCTGTAAAGAATGGTATATACCTGATGCCATAGTGCAAGAAATTGAATATGTTAATTCTAAAATACTTCTAGCCTTAAGCTTCTATGTATCACATGTACAAAGCACTGATCTGGAAAATGAACAAAAACAAATAGCTTATCTGGCTTGCCAAGAAAGCATCATGAATTAAATTACACAGTGAAATTAGAAACAGTCGTGTATTGGGAGATCAATTTGTGACATGTACCTTTGGTCATGGCTGTCTAAAACTAGAATTGAGCATCCATCAGTAAGGCCAACTGTCCTGAGAGTTTTTTCCATATCTTCCTCAGGAATGACTTTCCAGTTGTCAGCTTCTCTCTCAAGCCCTGAATGACTTTTTAAGATTATCCCTTTAGAGGACGTTAAAACTTCAGAAATCATTCTCAAGCTTAAACTACATGAAAAAACATGCTGGGACTCCGTAAACTGTTGCCCCTTTCGCCCTTCATTATGACCAGCTAAACGAAGAACATTTATGAGAACAGGTTCATGGTCAATGCCAGTCTGAATTTCCACCCCATCGACCTACAGAAAGAAAATGTAAAAGTCTGAAAACAAATCAGGAGCATGTTTCAAAAGATAAACTTTTCAGGATTCTTGTCACTGGTGACACATGGCTTTCCTCATCCACTCCATGGAACATATTATGATCCAGACTTCTAAGTAATATCTTTCATTTTGTAAATATTCCAGTATATTGGGTGCCGATAGCAATGATGACAGGATTAAAACAGCTGTGGATTTCTCCCTTACACCTCATTTATTCTTCCCTTATGATAAAAACAACTGCACAGCGAAAAAGAGAAAGTGACACTGGGATGTAGGAGATTTTTCTGGACTACACTGGGGTACTCTTTCTCCATCAAAACAGAAAATGTGATCTTACAAGGAATAATTTGTGGGTGCTACTCTTTCGTAAGGCTACAGTATAATTATGGCTACCTTTAATTTTTTGAATTTTGTGGAAACTGAAATAATGCAAATTCAATGAATATACCATCTGCAAAGGCCTGTTCTCCCAAATCAAGTAAATAGCTGAATAAGGACTGCTGCTTAGCAATCAAAATCCTAATACAAAGGAATAAAAAAGTAATTCCTTCATGAATAACTAGGTATTTATCATTTTTTTTTATCATTCATTTAAAATAAGCCAAAAACCTCCAGGAGCTTTTAAAGAAGCCTTAAAATAATTATCTCATCTACAATGTAGTGTGTGTTTACCTCTTTTCCATTCCACACAAATATATCAGCTCCATCGAAAAGGCCAGTGATACTTAAACTAGAATCATCACCTGCAAAGATAAAACAAGAGTATTTACATTTAAAAAATCAATTTGAAGTGCTTTTTAAATTATTTTGTTTAATTAGAGTATAAAAGACACTCTACAGTGACATTTGACTTGATTCAAAACATATCAAAATGTAACTGCATTGAAAATAAATCTAAGCAAACAATTTTCCTTATAAAACAAAAAAATTGGAAAATTATGGACCAAAAACTCAATGCAACATGATTCAAAACTACAGTTATGCACTTTGAAGGTTGGTATGCGTATCATATGATCTATTGAACACAACTACTTAATTTATTCAGAGGTATCAACAAGTGCCTGAATTTAGAATTCTTTCTACAAATGTTTTAGTCATGAAACAAAGGAATACTAAGATCATTTTTCCATCAAGGACTTAGAAACAAAGCATTAGATACAAGTGCAAACATGTTTCTCATCAATTGTAACAATCTTGTGCTTTTTCCACATAAATATTCTGCTTTATACTTAGGTAATGATATGAGTACATGTATGGAATTTTAATGCTTTTTAAATATATATATATATATATCTTACCCTCAAGAATTTGGTATATATGCAGTCCAGCTGGCAGAGGCTTTGCAAGGCTGAGAACCAGATCTCCTTCCCAAAATTCCAGCAACTAATCATAAAACATTGAAATATTTCTGAATTGAATAGGGGTTTATCATCTTGCAATTAAAATGTATTCATATTCTTGATTTGCAGCTGAAAGGTTGATTCCAGGGTTGGTATTTTATCTTACCATGTATAAATTGAACATCCCTTATCTTGAAATGCTTTGAATCAGAAGTATTTTTGTATTTCTAATTTATTTGGATTTTGGAATACATGTGTATACACAATGGGATAGCTAGAAGATTGAATCTCAGTCTAAACACAAAATTCATTTATGTTTCATATACACATAATTTGAAAGTAATTCAATACACAATATTTTAAATAATTTTGTGCATAATTTTTTTATATCCTTTTTTTGGTCATGTCAGGAACATCCTGTTGTGAGAGAATTGGCCGTCTGCAAGGACGTTGCCCAGAGGACGCCCGGATGATTTTTGATGTTTTATCATCCTTGTGGGAGGCTTCTCTCATGTCCCCGCATGAGGAGCTGGAGCTGATAGAGGGAACTCATCCGCCTCTCCCCGGTTTCGAACCTGCGACCTGTCGGTCTTCAGTCCTGCCGGCACAGGGTTTAACCCACTGCGCCACCGGGGGCTCCTTCCATATACTGAACTATGTAAAAGCAAAAGTTTCACTCTCTCAGCTACATATGTAGACAATTTGTGAATATTTCTGATTTTGAATTTCTGGACACAGGAAGCTGAACCTGTGCTGCCACTAAGGCTACAGCAGGCACAGTTTATTTTGCACCTGAAGAGTCTGCTTAGTGACACCGATGTTATTGAAACAGAACAGCTTATATGAACTATGATTCTGGTTTTGGCAATAGGGCAAGCTGTGGTTTGGCAAACAGAACTAAAGGTCCCAAATTTGTAGGTACATATTTGTGGACAAAGTTTAGGCCAAGCTAAACTTTAATATGACCTTTAAATACAGTAAGTAATCTACTCCAGATGTCAGCAATACACATCACAACAAAGCATACATATACATGCACACAAATTTGGTTTGTTTTGCACTACATACCACCATATTAACTTGTGTATAAGTCAACCTCATGTGTACGTCGAAGACAGGTTTGGGGGCCAGAATGATGGATTTTGGTATGACCGATTGATAAATAGAGGAATATTCTATGGAGAAGGGAAAATGCCAGCATTGCCTCAAAGGGTTAGCTACCCCTGGCTGCCATCACTATTTTTGAACTTAGGATTCAAAAAAGCCAAAAAGTGGTGCCACGTTGGCGAGGGTAGGGGGGTTGGTGCATCTATTAGGTTCTTCCCGGATGGACTGTCCTTTCATTTTTGCCACTCTATGCAGAAAAGGGATTATTTCTTTTTTATAAGAGTTAAGGGACAGTAATTACACTGACACATAGATATGTCAACCCAGTTTTTTTTAATGAAAATTTCTAGCCATATACATGAATAAATAGGATAATGAATTTCTATAATTTTATTACTGTTATTAGAAAAAATTAAGCCCAGCAGATTTAAATATATATATATATAAGAGCAGATACCTGAAAAACTGATTGTTGAAGTTCTCCCAATGTTTTTCTCTTATCAAATGTTAGATCTAGAACACTTTCCTTCTGGGAATGCAAAGGATGAAGAGCCCCATTGCAAAATTTGTAATGAGAATATATATGGAGATGCAAATCGATGATATTGTCTGCCAAGTCACATTCTACCCTTTAACATGTAAAGGAAAAAAAGTCTCAATTTAAATGAACAAAACTTTCAATTTCTCTTAGTACATATTTTATCTTCAGAAACATCCCACTATAAAACTTATGAGCAGATATGCATCTTAAGAAATACTGATCAATCCTTTCCTGTTAGGTCACTATGTATCAAGCATTACATATAATTTATAAGTTTTTAAAAATATGCATACAGTATGGGTGTATTTGGGGGAGTTAAAATGAAATCCCCTCCCCCGCCCAATTATCAGACAATAATTATAAGTTTAATTGGAACTATTACTACAATATTTTTATTCATTTAAGTCTTGCCTTTTATCACAAGCAGCTGAGTAGTAGTAAGATTTTTAATTAATTTAATTAATGGACGGGGAAATATAGAAAAATAATCCCAATGCTGCTCACCCAAATTATAACGAAAACACCATCACTACAGATTAGCTCACCAAAATATAGAGGGAGCATGGCTGCTGAACCAACTGTCTATTTAAAAGTTAGGAACTGGGAACCACTAGAACTGAGAGACTTAACATGATTCTTCAAAAGATTTCTGCTGCCACCATATCAATAATAAAAAGGCTGAGGTATTATTGAGAGGTTGTTCAGTACACACTCTGTGTCACTATAGTTTTCTTAGAGGCTGCTGAAAGCTGACTTGAATAATGTTTTGACCACAAAGGTATTCACACTGAGGCTGGTATAAGTTGATAAAAATAACAAGAACGTTTATTGAACAGGCTTGAAATATTCAGGTACAAATGCTTAATGGTTTCAGTAAAATACTGGCATAAAAAGCTTGTGGTAGCGTTTGAGTAAAGATCTTAAAAACTTCTGGGTTACAAGTCTTAAAAGTTCCAACACAGAAAATTACCTCAGGAAATGAATCTCTGAAAGTAACTCCCAAAAATCCACCTTAGGAATCTAGCCAAAACCTCTGAACTAGACTTCCTTAAGAAAGGAACAGACCGCTAACAGGGTGCTGCTCCACACAGTATTCCAGCTATTTACTCAATAACCGTTCTGAATACTACACAAAAGACTGACCCAAACTACTTATTCAAAACCCAAACAGCTCTCGCTAACACCAACACTTCTTCTCTCTACCCTTTCCAAACTCCAACCGGCAAACTGGAACCTCAAGCCTCAGTCTTAAAAGCCACTTTTTCCTTTTAGATCACTTAGGCTCCGCCCCCATCTTTCTAACCAATCCTAGTCTTCTGATTTTCCCTCCTAGACTTGAACACACCCCTTAAGGCAAACCTAACCTAAGATGGCTTCTCCCTGTTTCCCTTCCCTAAAACAGATGCTGTGGCTTCGCTAGGCCCACTTCCTTAGGCTTTTGTCAGATAGCTAAGGTAAGGGATTCATTACACCTTTCTCCCCCAAACATTGGTTCACAAAGTAACTTACAATATAATAAAAACAATGCAGATTATACATTTACTAGAGAAATCTTGAAATTTAATGATTTCTGTATTGTGTCTGCGTTTCCAGTGATTAAAAAAAAACACCAAACCCATCACTCTACACATAAGCAAGCTGACTGCAAACAGAATCTTGACATTTGACATTAGACGTTTTAGCTACCTGTTTGGAAAGTAGCTCTGAAGGATGAAAGGCACAGTTCCTTCCCACAGAAAATGCTATTCAAATCATAACATAACAATATAATTAAAATATCTTTTTAAAAAAACTTAACTTAGTTGTCTAAAACATTGTTCACTGACATGTAAGAGTGGTAAAGGAAAGAGTATGGAAGGGACTAGAGAGCATTCCTTGGACATTTGAGCCAGCTGTGGATAGTGCTTTGCTGCTCACTTTCTCTCGAAGTGGGCAGATATGATAGCTGTGTATAAATATGTGAGCCACAGGGAGGAGGGAGCAAGCTAGTTTTCTGCTTTCCTCCAGGGGAAGGGGGACTAGGACGCGGAACAATGGCTTCAAACTACAAGAGAGGAGATTCCATCTGAACATGAGGAAGAACTTCCTGACTGTGAGAGCCGTTCAGCAGTGGAACTCTCTGCCCCGGAGTGTGGTGGAGGCTCCTTCTTTAGAAGCTTTTAAACAGAGGCTGGATGGCCATCTGTCAGGGGTGCTTTGAATGCAATATTCCTGCTTCTTGGCAGGGGGTTGGACTGGATGGCCCATGAGGTCTCTTCCAACTCTTTGATTCTATGATTCTAAGTGCTAGTTACACAACTAGCACAACTGTAGATAACTTCCACTTTTCATATCTGTAATCTTCATATTCTTTATGAGACTACAGCCTATACATTTGATAACAGAGTGGAAATAATTTACTCACCGCTTTTTCTGCAGTTTGATGTTAGCAGCATCCATTTCATTCAAGAGGTGGCTTGGAACCCTATACCTTGGATTTCCTCGAGCTGCGTTCAAAAGAAGCTGACTGAGTATCAACTACAAAATAATTACACTAAAAGGACAATTAGGTTTTGATGGAACAGGAGATGCCTGGCCTTTTCTTTGGAGTAACAATACATTTATGATATAATGCTCGGCCCCGCCTTTGTCTCAGACACGCTTGGCGGGGACGAGGGACAGGGCCTTCTCAGTGGTGGCCCCCCACCTGTGGAATTTGCTCCCCGGGGAAATTAGGTCATCCTCATCTCTCCTCACCTTTAGAAAAAAGGTTAAAACGTGGCTGTGGGACCAGGCCTTTGGGCAATCAGGTTAAAGGACAATTGATAATGTCCACTATGATAGCATGATAGAAAGAAAGGAGAAGGGTGGACTTGCTGTACCAGATCTATGGCCTTATTTAGAGGCAAATGCATTGATTTGGACTAAAGATTGGGCAAAATTAGAGAAAAAGAAGTTATTAATATTAGAAGGTATAGAATTAAGAGAAGATTGGCACACATATATCTGGTATAGAGGGAAAAAATTGATAAAAACTTTGGCAATCATTTTATAAGATCACCAATACTAAAGATTTGGGAAAAATATAAAAAGAAGTTGTACAATAAAACACCTATGTGGATCTCACCTTTGGAAGCTGGTTAAAGGCGCTGTATGGGATGGCATGAATGGCCAAAATATAAGGATTTATTAAAAAAAGAAAGAGGAGAAATTATTTTAAAATCACAACAGGAACTAAATACGGCACATCAAAAAATCTCATGGCTGGAATATTAAAGAAAAATATAAAAAATTAAAGAAAAATACAAAAAAAGATAAGGAGATAGGATTCACACAAGAAAAAAATTTCTGGGATAATATAATGGAATCAGGGAAAAAATAATAACAAAGATATACAAAAAATATTAGAATGGGAATTAGAGTCAAAGGAAGAAATGCAGGTTGCTTACCTGTAACTGCGTTTCCACGAGTGATAGTCTGTGAAATTTGCACATAATGGGTCTTGTTCTGCGCATGCGCAGCTGTTCGGAACCTTCTAGAATTTTCAAATAGAAACTTTTTGGCAGACGCCCCGCCCAATCTCCCCAATACTATAAATGCCCAAGGCGGGAGCCTCGGCTCAGTTCCGCAGCCGCTATCAGCAGCTATAGAACGAGCATGACCACTGCGGGGAGGCTTGGCGGGGATGTGCGAATTTCACAGACTATCACTCGTGGAAACGCAGTTACAGGTAAGCAACCTGCATTTCCCCTTCGTGTAGTCTGTGAAAAACGCACATAATGGGTGAATAGCAAGCTACCAACCTTCGGAGGTGGGAGTCATGCGACACTGGAAAACAACACCGCTCTGCCGAAGGCCGCATCCTTCCTCGCCATCGCATCCAGCTTGTAGTGGGCAGCGAACGTCGACGGATTGGACCAGGTCGCTGCTTTGCAGATGTCATCAATCGGAACGCCCTTCAGAAAAGCTTGCGAAGTTGACACTGCCCTCGTGGAGTGTGCATGGATCTGCTGAGGTGGTTCTTTCTTTGCTAACAGGTAAGCTAGTCTGATGGTCAAGACGATCCACGAGGCAAGGCGCTGGGAGGAGACAGGTAACCCTAGGGAGTCTTGGCGATATTTCAGAAATAGTCTGACTAACTTTCTGTGGGGAGCCGTTCTGAATGTTGGAGGGCTGTAGCGTCTTCGATGTTGGTGAAAATGGTGTGGCCAGTATGGTCTGTGATGCTGCGACAGATAGGGAGAGAAACCATATTTGTGAGCTGTTTGCCTCATTTTCTGGGTGTGCTCCAGTTGGGAGTCTGTCTCCGGATTAAAGAGGCCCGACTCGTCCATCGGGAGATCCTCTATTACTGTCTTGGCCGATTGGGATAAGCCTGAGCTTCTCAGCCAAGCATGGCGGCGCAAAGCCACCGCCGTCGCTAGGAGCTTGCCCACTGCATCAGCTGTATGTTTGGCCAAATCCTTCTGAAAGGAGGCCAGCAGTACTGCTTCCTGATGGAAGGCCTTCGCTAGCACCTGCTCGCTTGGTGGGAGCATGTCAAAGTATCCGGCTATCTTGCCCCATAGATATTCTTGGTAGCCTGCCATGTATGCCCCATAGTGGGCCATCCTAGAGGCGAGACAGGCAGAAGCGTAGATCTTTTTCCCCAGTGTTTCCAACTTCTTCCCCTCCTTATCAGAAGGGGTAGTTTGTGATCTCTGGGAGGGGCGAGGCTGGCTGACATCCACTACAATGGAGTTGGGCTTAGGCTGTTTGGCCAGCCATGGAGCAGCGGAGAGGTCCACCTTGTAGAGATTCTCCACCCGTTTAGGAGTTGCGGGCACTGCTGATGGGGCAACGCCTTCGGCCTTGCTGAGTTGTAATAGGAATGGAAGGGAAGGAAGGACCGTCGTTGGAGGGTCATGCTTCTTGGTGGAAGGAAACATTGGGTCCTCTACCACCTTTGTTGATTGAGGCACTATCAATTGCAGGGCCTTGGAGAGTCTAATCAAGAGGGCAGAGAAACCCCCAAGCTCCTCAGTAGTGAGTGCCTCTGAATCAGGTTGAGGCTCAGGGGGGGAGCGAGGGTGATCCTCTGAATCCGAGGAGGCTGAGAGGAGATTTGCATCGGTTTCTGGCGTTGCAGCTCTCAGTGCCGAGGTGTTTGCTATTGGAACCGAAGGGCACGCAGCAGGTGGCGCTGTTGAGGCGTTGAAGCGGTCGGGCCGGTGTTGCGTTAGCCTCTGGAGGCTGCGCTACGGTTCCAGGGTGAGGAGGAGCTGAAGCTGCCTGCCCCGGGTGGGCGAGGCTTACACCAGGGGGCGTGGCTTCCATCGGAGGGTAGGTGTAACCAGCGTATTGGCAGCAAGGGCCATGGCGGCAGCAGCCTCTCTCCACATGAGGCACGGCGTACTTGTATTGAACATAGTCACTGAAACGCCTAGAATGGTGCCGCTCTGGGGAGTAATCCTCCTCATAAGTAGATCTCGCCGGGCTGCGTGATCGTGAGCTCCATGAGCTGATGGATGGGGATCTGCGTCGGTGCCGTGGCACGTGGCGTGACCGGCGCTCTTGGGAGCGGCCTCTGTCCCTATCTCCCCTTTTTCTCGGTGGTGAAGAGGGAGGATTTTGGCCTTGTTGAGGCAGCCCTGGAGGAGTTAGGGGTCCCCCCGAGCCCTGCGCAACAGGTAAGTCGGTTGGCAAGGGAGTCCCCGAAGCCGCTGCTGGGGCAGCTAGGACTGCGCTGCTTGAGGGGATCCCCTCGGCGGGGGAGAGCGTTGGTGGACCCGGCGCCATTCCTTCCCCTCTGGCGGTTTGAGTCGCCATTTGCCGCGCTTCTCCCTGCGGCTCTGCAGAGACATCCAAGAGGGTCGTGGCTTGCTGGGCTGCGCCCCTTGTGGAATGGGGACTCGGGGGCAAACTGCCACCGAGTTGCCCCTTCTTCTTTCCTTTTTTGAGCCCATCTTTATGCTTGTGGGATACTTTCCCCTGCTTTGAAGGCCTGGGCTTTTTTGCAGATCCCGGCTGGGAGTCGCCCTCCGCTTCCTGCCCTTGCGGGGAGAGTTGGGAGGGGGCGAGCCCCGAATCTCGGTCTTCTGGGGCCGGGCGCTTCTCCGCTCGGGTGGAGCTAGGGGCTAAGGCTCTCTCATAAAGAAGAGCTTTGAGTCGGGACTCTCTGTCCTTCCGCGCCCTGGGGGTAAATGTCAAGCACACTTGGCAGGATTGGCATAGAGTGCCCGTCTGAATCGGGCACCTTGCCGCCACAAGAGCTGCATTTCTTGAAGAAAGAGGTACTCATTTCAAGGTGGGGACTGGCCTGAGCGTAGTCAAAAATCCGTTCAGAGTCGTGGGTAGGAGAGTATCACAGATCGATGAGATTTCCGAGTCCAAAGAAGGCTAAATCTGTCCGCTAGAGTAAACTCGCTAGAGAGGTTCCAAAAGCTGCTGATCGCGGAAAAGGAACAGAGCCGAGGCTCCCGCCTTGGGCATTTATAGTATTGGGGAGATTGGGCAGGGCGTCCGCCAAAAAGTTTCTATTTGAAAATTCTAGAAGGTTCCGAACAGCTGCGCATGCGCAGAACAAGACCCATTATGTGTGTTTTTCACAGACTACACGAAGGGGGAAAGAACTATAGGAAAAGATGGAATGAAAATATTAGAAGAATCATGAAGCAAGAAGAATGGGAAGAAATCTGGAGGGAAAAAATAAAATATAGCTATGCAATTGGCTTAAAGGAAAACTGGGTGAAAACAGCATACTGTTGGTACATGACCCCAAAGAAGTTAGGAAAAAGCTATAACAACACAAGTATGACCTGTTGGAAATGTAAGGAAAAAGAAGGTTCATATTTTCATATGTGGTGGACCTGCAGCAAGGCTAAAGAATATTGGAAAGAAGTACAGAAAGAACTACAAGAAATCTTGAAGATAAACATTCCATGGAAAGCAGAGTTATTTTTATTAGTTATGCATGATCTAGAAATAGACAAAAATACGGATAAACTTCTGTTCTTAATGACAACAGCAGCAAGGATCTGCTATGCAAGAAGATGGAAACAACGGGAAATACTAGACGAAAACGAGAGATTAACAAAAATACTGGAGATCATGAACATGGACAAACTCACTTTTCTCATCTCAAGGAGCAAAGGAATAAATATGTAAGAAACAAACTGGGTAGAGGCTACCGAATACTTCAAACAAAGAAATAAAAATATTTTGATCTAGTAAAGGAACAGAGGGGAAAAGGAGGAAAAAGAGCTGAGAGGAGGAGAAGAAAACACGAATTAGAGGTCAGAAGGGAGGAAGAGAAAGGAAGGAAAGAAGATTTCTTGTCACTAATTCTTTTAAATATTTCTCACTTTCTATTATTTTTTTTTTTTCTCTTTTGCTTTTGTTTTTTCATTTCTTGTCTTATCTTGTCTTCATCTCCTTTTCTATTTTCTATATTTTTTAAAAAAATATTCTATTCTTATTTTAATTGTAAGTAAAATACTCAATAAAGATTATTTTTTTAAAAAGGACAATTGATAATGTTTGACTATGGCATGGAAGAGCATCTGGATAAGTTAAGTGGAGTAATCATTAGTAGATGGCTAGCTAAACAGCCACTAGACTGGCAATAGCTAATCAGAGTGTAAGTATACTGTTTTCATCTTTATTTATTAATGTTCATGTTTAATTGTTATATTTGTTATTCTGTATTTTATGATGCAGCATTGAATTATTGCCAATTGGAAGCCACCCTGAATCCCCCCAGAGGTTGAGAAGGGTGGAGTAAAAATGTTCGAAATAAATAAATAAAATATATTAGTCACAAATCAAGTAGCATAATTTCATTCGGCAGCAAAGAAAATATGCATCAAGTACCTATGTAATTAACTAACGGTGAAGAATAGGGTTTAAACTCAGCCATGGTTTCTGGGCAGATTTCTCAACCTCAAAGGAAGGCAAACACAAAATCCACCGTGACCAAATCTACTAAGAAAACCCTGCAATAGGGTCAGCGTAAAATGGAAAGGAGTTGCTAGCATGCAGCAACAACAACTTTCACATGTCTTCTTTTTAAGCTTACATAAATCTAAAGTTCTATGACTGCTTAATAAAGAGCAAGCAACAAACAAACTCCAAGCATCCTGAGTAACTTTTTACCTTCAGATGGTCTCATCATTTGGGATTTCCGATAAAACAGCATGTAGGCACTCTCATTACCCTGAAACTGCTTCTGAATCTCCTTTTCCCTGATTGGCTGAACTTTGGAGTCGTTCAAATCAAACCAATGGGATACTGAGCAATGTTCCTTTAAGTTTGTGGATGCTTTCCCCAATGGTATCTTCTCATCTTCATTTCGCAGATGGCTTTGGGATGGTGATCGAAAATGGAGGTAGTGGCTTTGGTCGTTCAACCTGACTTTGCTTTCATCAGAACTAAGAACAAAATCTTGGGAATTGTTCTGTAAATACTGGGGAGGTAAAGCGGAGGGGAGTAAAGAGGGCGGGAGATAGGATGAGGGATCAATTCAAATATTGAAAACACCATATTTTGAAGGCACACAACAACAACAACAACAACAACTGATCTATGTACAAAGAGGATGCCATAAAAGAATACCTTCCGAATTGGCCCATACTGTTTTCGATACTTCTTATTCCAGGACACACTTTTCTTTTCCCAAACTTTTTGTGCCAAGCAATCCACAGCCATTTCTGTAGAATCTTCCTGCAAGAAAAAAAAGAACTATTGTCTAAAATGGGGACAAGAAGAGGCAATATGGCTAGTCCCAAGCATTAATTATACATTATTTTGCCCATTCTGATACTGAAAGAGCCCTTTTAACCTGCTATAACCCACTATGAGAAGGAAAAGCAGATTTGACTCTTTAGCCCAGAATTTTCAGGCTTAGAGTTGCACTAAGTTGTGGTAACATTCTGCACTTAAGAGCGCAACATCAAAACATTTTTGATTAAATGTCATGAAAGAGTGCTAAGCATATTTTAATACACTATACCTCTAATAATATGTTTTTCAGAATTGTTGATGGGTTTTCTTTTTCTTTGTCATTATCAGTTTGTTTCAAATCTTTATCTTCATCATTCAAGCTGCCATCCTCCTTCAGGGGAAAAAAACATCATATTGAAATCCAAAAAGACATAAAGTGTAAATTTAATAATAATAAATGTCTGGCCATCCAATGGGATTCTCTCTATGCCCCCCCCCCCCTTGCAAAAAAAACTGCCCCAGTCTTTATGGAGCAAATATGTGGAACACATAGGGTGAGGAGGAGTCCAATTCTCCAGAAGGGTTCATTCTAGTGGAAGATGGACACCATTTTAAACACAAGCAAGTGTTACTATTTATTTGACATTCTTTTACATTTGTATACAATCTAGAATTTAAAATTCCCTATACCCTACAATTTAGAGACTTGGCTCTGTCATACAGTTTACATAAAATCAAGTTTTGATGCTGAAGCAGTTTAAGATATGCTACATCCATTAACATCAGCAATTGCTGCTGTGCACTTTCAAGTCATTTCTGATTTATAGCAACCTTAAGGCAAATTTGGCAGAATTCACAGGCAGAATTTAGTCTCCCAGTGTCTACATCCAACACTCAAACTATTAATTATAATAGCAGTAATAGGGGTAGTAAAGGAAGGCGTGTCAAGCTAACCCATGTTGGGACCGCTTTCCATGTGGAAACTGATGTCCTCACTGCAAAAGAACATGCAGATCAAGAATAGGTCTCTACGGTGACCGATGAATGCACCACCAAGACCCTACACTTGGAATCATACTCAGTCACGAGTGATAGCCTATGATAAGTAGTAGTATTTATTGATTGATTTACGGCATTTATATGCCACCCTTCTCACCCCGAAAGTGACTCAGAGCAGCTTACAAGATATATTTTCATACAATATATTATATCATTAGCATAATACAATATCAGTCTTATATATTACTATATTGCACTATACCATTATATTGTAATATTATTAGTAATATTACATGTAATGTAAATATATATAATTATAATTATAATATTGTATTATTATTACTAGTATTATATTACACTCTAATATTATATTATATTATAATATAATACAATATATTATAATATAATTACAATATAATTGGTATAGTACAATATAGCAATATTTTAGTGTTATTTTATTATTATTATTAGTAGTAGTAGTAACAGTAGTACTGATGTCCCACTTTTTCTCTCTTCTCTCAACAGAATTTCCTGTAAATAGTTTTTTATGATGTAAACCATCCCCATCATATTTCACGGATGATTTGAATGAGATTTTCCTGCTTTTGGCGGGGGGTTGGACTGGATGGCCCACAAAGTCTCTTTCAACTATGATTCTATGAAATAATCTCATATAAATGCCTCGTATGGAATGTCATAAGCATAAATACATAAAATATGTCAGAGAAGTGCTGACTAAAAGATGGAGAAAAAGCAACAATTTTACAATAATTAGACTCAAGAACATCATATAATACAGTAGTTCTCAACAGTTTACCAGTTTACTGTTAGGATTTCTGGGAGTTGAAGGCCAAGACATCTGGGGACCCACAGGTTGAGAACCACTGATCTAGTAAACATGAAGAAACCTAAAGCTGGGTATTTTCTACACAATACTTTTCAAACTCATGCCATTGGTTTGAAGAGAGAACTCCACATTTACTTTAAACATTTTTCCTGAAAAAAAGTTTTATTTCCCCTTCTACCCATTTCTACAAATGACTATCAACAGAAATAAACATCAGATGACAAACAGCTAGACTTACTAGCACCTGCCAGTTTCCCAGTTCATCAATATCTCTGATGTAAGCATGATAATGTCCTCCATAGCAGCCACCTTTGTGTATTATTACAGAAAAGAGTTCATACATGTATTCCAGATCATCCAACTGAGTCTAAAAACAAAATATAATAATAAAGTCAAAAAATTCACATGGCGGAGAAAATATTTCAAGAGTAAGCACCCCCCCCCACCCCAATATATTATTGCTCTAGAACAGACCTTAACATCTTGTGAGTAGTAAGGGGCCGAAACTAGATAGGCTAAGCTCCTTGGAGCGTTAAATAGGGTTTTAATCATACCACTTTCCAAGAAAGGTAGAATTATTCATTAGGATTGTTGCCATTGTGCCTATGTTTCAGAGTTAAGGAGACCCTCACGAGTTTTAGACATAAGAAACATGGATAAATTGACCTATATATTATCAAAAAAAGAAAGGTACACCAAAGACAGAAATAGACTGGAAACAAGTTACAACATATTTAGCAAAAGAAAAGAACATGAAAATAATCATCTAAAAGGAAAATATAGATAATACGAAAGAAGGGAGAGTAAGACACAAAAGAACAGAGAAGGTTAAAAGGCAAAGAAAAAGGAAAAGAAAAGGACCTCGCTGAAGAAGTCAAAAATCCGCACTTATACCTAATCCATCCCACCCCCCTCACTGTCCAATTTCCGTTTCTACACTTTTCCGCACAATATATATTCAGCAAACACTTTCATCTCATGGTTTTTCCAGAATAAGGAAACTCCTAGCATTATGTCCCAACGCACTTTATCAGAGATCCAGGTTATCTGCATGCCCATCCCCCTCCAAACACCCCACCTTGTCATGCCCAGCACTTTTAATTTTAATTTTAATTATTACACTTGGCCCGGCCATTGTTTTTAATTGCGTCATTGGGTGTTGTTAATGTTATTGCTTTGTTTTTTTGAGTTATTGTGTTGTTGTTGTTGCTGCTGTTTTAATTGTTGTATTTGGGCTCGGCCTCTTGTAAGCAGCACCGAATCCTTCAGGAGATGGTAGCGAGGTACAAATAAAGAATAAAGGTGTATTATTATTATTATTATTATTATTATTATTATGGTTTCTGACACTCTGTCTGTTCAACTTTAATTTCTCTCTCTCATACCCAAAGCTAATGACTTTTATCTATACCCTTATACCCCCCCCCCCCGGCTTTTGTCCAGTTACTATATTTTATTAATATAAAAGTTTATTTTTGTATGCTTTTATTTAATATTAATAAAGATTTTTTTTTAAAAAAAGAGTTTTCTTGTCAAGATTTATTCAAAGGGGATTTGCCTTTGTCTTCCTCTGAGGCTGAGAGAGTGTGACTTGCCTAAAGTCACCAAATGGGTTCAGAGCCATAGTCTGAGATTCAAACCACCATACCATGCTTTCTGAATTATTTCCCTTTCTATTTCTTGCCTCTTTTTTTTTCTTCCTTTTCTCCTGCCCACCTTCCTTCTCTCCTTTTCCTACCTTCAGTTCTGTCTTTCCATTTCTCCTTCACTCCATCCTTCCTTATTAGGGGTGAAGGGGGGAGGGAAAGCAGTTAGGTTGAGTAGTTAGGGCGACAGGGATGAGGGAAAGTGAGTGGAAGGGGGTGGCAATGGCAGTGTTTGGCAAGGCTCACCAATGGTTTGTGTGGGCCGCATGCTGCCCATGAGGCGAATATCGTGCAGGCCTACTCTATAAAGTACAGCTCAACATCCCCAGCCTTCCTTCAAGAACCAGCACTTTTGAATACAGTAAAAAGTGCTCATTTTGTGAACAAAATAAGGGTTAGAAGTCTAAAAAACAGAAAGCAAATGGAGGTTCAGAAAGCATAGCCTCAAGATCCTTAAAGCTTTAAACACTTCGGGGACATCTGTAGGATCACGTTTTTCTGTGCAGTCCTGTCAGTGTGTGGAGATCAGCTGTGGAGACAGTCCAGATGTACAAAGCGAGAAAAATAGCTCTCACCACACATGGAATTCTAAAAAAGTATAACTTGGAAGCCCATTTTAATTTTAAAGCAAAACCATACTTAAAAATAGAAGTGCACTGCATTATATCAAACCAAGCTGTGACATCATGTCTCAAATGCTTGAGTGAAGACAGGTCTTAATAGGGTGATGAAATGAGGCCAACATTGGTTCAGGGCTCCAAGGTTATTTCATTTCTAGGAGAGTAGATAGATATACTTAAAGTCACAGCAGTCTTCCCTTGGGATGGAGGGGGGCAATGAAGTGCAAACACAGGTTGCGCATTCATTCAATATCCCTGCCATGTCTTTTTGACTCCTTCTCAAACATGTACTGTGCCATCAGGCTCAGGAGCTATGTGAGCCAGCTTAATACACTCTCCTCCTCCCTCTCCTGTTCATCCTCCCGCCCCACTTATTTTACACAACCCAGGCTCCAATAGCTATGGAATTCATCCCACAAACTCTTGTGACCACCACCAGTGATCAGGATGAGCCAGGTTCCTTCTCCACAAGATTGATAACCTACTTATTCCAGGATTGTGCAAATCTGCACTTTTTATGTAAAGCAATTATTTAATACTGTAGATCAGGGGTCCTCAAACTAAGGCCCGAGGGCCAGATATGGCCCTCCAAGGTCATTTACCCGGCCCTCGCTCAGGGTCAACCTAAGTCTGAAATGACTTGAAAGCACCCAACAACAACAACAACAACAATCCTATCTCATCAGCTAAAAGCAGGCCCACACTTCCCACTGAAATACTAATAAGTTTATATTTGTTAAAATTGTTCTTCATATTAATTATTGTATTGTTTTTAAGTGGTTTTTTGGACGACAAATAAGATATGTGCTGTGTGCATAGGAATTCATTCATGTTTTTTTCAAGTTATAATCCGGCCCTTCAACAGTTTGAGGACTATGACCTGGCCCTCTATTCAAAAAGTTTGAAGACCCCTGTTGGTCTTTCTAACATGGAAGGCAAGGTACACTGTATTTGTTACCCTAACATCTGTCAAGACATTGTTCAAGGTACAGCACCTCTATTGCCAACCCCATATCAATTTCTCTCTTTCTGGATCCTCTTCATCCCAGATGTACGTAGTTCAGTAAAAGCTTCAACATAACATTATGTAACAACATTTGAGAAAAAAAATCATTTTCCTGGTTTGAAACTGTTATTTCCTGTTTCATTTTGCGGTACTTACTTTTAAAGTAGTCAATATACTCCAGAAACTTCATTTTTGTGGCTGCCACAAATTCTGTTTAATTGGTTGAGACTTGATGAAAAACTATAGCAAAATGTGTTGGAGGATGTCCCGCCAAAACAAAGTTTTTGCACTTTAATAAACTTTTCCATTTAGGAAATGACATTTCTAACCCAGGAACAAAATCCATGTTACATAGTGTAATTGGTCATTAATTTTGCTCATGAGAATAGAACTGTGGGAGAGAAGAATCTGTGCTTTTAAAGCAGATTTAATATTCAATCTTCATCATATTCAGGAAGAAAAAATGGAAGAGGCTGGAATGAACCATTCTGGTTGCTATTCCAGAGGTAGATGATAGGAGGATAAGGCTCAATGCAATAATAATAATAATAATAATAATAATAATAATAATAATAATAATTTATTTGTACCCTGCTACCATCTCCCCAAGGGACTTGGTGCGGCTTACATGAGGCCAAGCCCACAATATATCAATAAACAAAACATCAATAAAACAATCAATACAATACAATTCATATAAATCACATAAACAAAAAATAGGCAATAAACAATCAACAGTGACATACAAGCATTTAAAACCAATGGCCGGGCCAAATGTAATAGATTAAAATTAAAAAATAATGCTGACGTGAACGAGGTAGGATATAACTGGGATAGGATTTTCAGAGAGAAATGAGGGAACGCTGTCCGTCCTAAATCAGTGGTAAAGTGCATTTTGAGGGCATATTGCTGAGAGTTCTTTCTGACTGGCTCAGTTATATCTGCATATGCGTGCCTTTCTTATACATTTCCTACTCTGAGGTTATGCTGTAAAATTCAGATTGGAGACTCCACAAAATGCAAGTTAGGGCTTCTCCTGTACTCTCGGTGAGAGTGGAAGTGTAGGAGAGATCAATCCCCCATGAAGTGTGCAATATCAACTGAGTTAGGGTTGTGTAGCACTTGTGCATAGTCCATGCTGGTTGGACTGAATTATTACAGGGTTGCTTTGTAGCTTGAGGATGAACTCTAGTCTCAGGAAGCAATTGCTTTTGGCCAGGCAGGCAACAGATGACTGGGACCATTTGGGGGAAGGGTGTGTGCTCCAGCCTCTTGCTTCTAAACTCCATGCCTTATGAACCAATTCATTGGAGGATGCTGCATCAGTGTATGTCTATGGCTCTGGTTGTGAATCGGCTTTCTGGAAAACATCTTTCCTTACTCCCTAAAGTCTTAAACCATTGCAAGTCTCTAGCCTCCAGCTATGAGGATTCTGTGCTTTATCAGTTCTTACTGCCCAACTGTCCTTGCAAGGAACATAAGATTAAGCCTTAGAGGATCTAAGTTAGTTCAGCTAGTCTGCAGCCCTATATACATGTTTAATTCCAGCATATGAAATGAAAGCCAAATTTCATCAAGGGATAAAGAAATGGCCAGCATTACCATGAACTCTGAAATACCAGCCAAACAAATTAGTTAGTGCAAAAGTTAACAGAGTTGCTGTGTTCCTTAGAACGTAGCAACTCTGTTAACTTTTGCACTAACTAATTGGATCTGTGCCACACCATCAAACCAGGGTACAGGCTAAAGTGAGGATATCTCACACAATTACGAATGAAGTACATACACATTACTGAGTCAATCTACTGCAAATTTGAAATAGTTGTAAAAATACACAAGAACATTTAGACATCATCAAAAGAGAAAATAAGTTCAACCTGCTCACAAAAAGGCTTGAGGTTTATCTGAATTGGGAATGTGTAACATCTCGTCTCTTTGTATCGTTCACACTTCTCAAAATCGAAGTTAAATCTCAAGAGGGAGACCGTGAGGAATGGAGGCAACTTGCGTAGTTTAGCAGACTGTAAAGTGATCAGAATGTTTTTTAAAAATATGTTCTCTTTTGAAAGAGAGTAATTTTACTGCTGTTAGCCATCTTGAGGACCATTTATGGAAATTCAGAATACAATTTAAATATACTTCTAACAAATACAGAAATGCTTCCAAACTAAGAAAACACAGCAAATATACAAGACTAGAAGTAAATCTAGATAGAAGCAAAATATCAAAACAGACACTGTTTCTAAAAAATCAAAAACACTTTGTAAATATCCTGTATAAAATGAGTTTAAAATCAAATCATAGCTTAAATCCAACTGTTAATACCAACTAAAGAAGACTATTTCAATCAATACAAATTCAATTATTTGTACAGATCTACTTTAGATGGAACGAGCCATGCAATTTTGTTCCTTATTTCTTGAAGCAACAATTGTTGACAAATCCAGTTCACTTATAATCTATCCCATGCAACTTTTTAAAGAATTTGCAAATCTTAAGAAGTCAAGGTTCATAAATATTGTTATGCATCCATGAGCTATGTGCAACTGATCACCAACAGTTTTAATGCAAGGACTCAAAACTTAAAGGCAGCAAGATATTTTTAGGGAAGGAGGGATATGGAACATATGGTTCTATTAATAAAAACCAAGCTGCAGTACCTGCTCTTAGTGTGTGAAAATATGTAAAACAGTCAGCAAAGCAATTGACTGTACTCTTCTGTTGAGGAGTAAATACACTTCCTATGCTCCTCCATGAAGAGGGTGCAGGTTAAAAACCTGGCTATTTAAACAAGCCTTTGAAAATGTTAAAAATATCCCCCTTAATATGGATGAGGTCTTTGTTCTATAGAAATACTCTGGTAATTTGGCTTTTATCTAGTTTATTTAATTTATTGAAAACACTGTTTTAAATGTGTTTTTAACTAATGTTTTACTGTTTATTGTTTAATTTGTCCATTTTGTTAGGTTTCCTCCTTATTAACTTGTCATTTATTTGTATGTTATTTATTGTATTTACTTATGTTATGAGCTACCCCGAGTCCTTTTGGGGAGATGGGACAGGGTAGAAATAAAGATTATTACTACTACTCGAACCTTTGTTGGGGGCTTTAAACAGGTTCAGGTGGCTACCTATCAAAAACAGTTTAGCTGAGGTGCCTGAGGTGCCTCTCCAGCTTTCTAGATCAATCTTTGATCTTCAAGTTGTTTTGCACTTTCGCTCCCAAAGGTCTTCACCAGATTGGACAAAATTCAAGGACTCGGAGAGCTGAAATTCAAAACATCTCGAGGATGAAATGATGAAAATCACTGCTACAGATTTTTATGAGGCATAGGTTAATAGACAAACATCTCTTTTATACTTTCTAATGACAGCCCTCCATATTCACGTATTCTGTATTCATGGATTCAAATAACCAAATTGTTTTGCAATTTTTCAAAAAGTAAAAAGCAAACCTTGATCTTACTATTTAATATCTTACTATTCCATTGTATAGACTGTGACTTGACAATCCAAGAATCTGGGTATCCACGGTGGGCACTGGAACCCAAATTTCAATGGATGCCAAAGGCCCAATGTACTCATATGTGGCTTTAAAAAACCTGTAATCAATCTTGGAGAAAATGAGAGATATAAACACAAGTAAACAGCAATAACCAGCTTTTAGCACTGAGTTTTGCTGGTATGTTCATTAGTACAGCAACTGGTTCACTAGTTATTTCCTCTATTGCAGCCATTATTAGTTTCATTTAGAATGTAACAGTATGTCTGCATAACACAACATATGAATTCTACCCTTCAATGAATTTTGTAAAGAACAAGCAAATGAGCAGCTGTCTTAAGATATGGAGTAAATAACACACGTAGAGATAAAATACATACAAAATACTACCTTTATGGCTTCAACCAGTTTATTGCATGCTCCACATCGATACAGGTTATCTTTCTCAAAATGTTCCTCTTCCACATACATGTTCCATAAGGCTTCCTCCAACCCAGACACATCCTTCACAGCAACAGTTAGATCCAAAAAATCCTCCTATAAAGTAGAATTGTGGGAGGAGGGGTGGGGAGAAACCCCTTTAAAATATCAGTGAAAAATATTACAAGATATACCAAAATCAATAAACAATGCCATTAAAATTTTTTTAAAGAACAACCATGCTAAAGGAACATTGTTAATAGTTTTGATAGAAATCAGGATATCAAACCACAGTTTGAAACTTGTTTAATCTTCTGGCTAGTTTCAAAGCTTTATCCATAGTGTTTTGGTTTGGCTGAAATGGGAAAACCTTCTAGTTTACCTGCTTTTTCATATTTCAGCTTATTAAAGATGCAGTCTGTGTCTCTGTCAGTATCTACAATTCAGCAATAAAAGTCTAAATCCCATGATAAATGGCCTTATGCATATCACTTCACCTCAAATGTCAAACTGGGAAGTAAACGGTTAACAACTATCTTCTCTGCCACATATTTTAAAAACACTGCAAGATTTTGCATATTCAATCTGGCAGTGTTAATTAATCATAGCAGCACATTACAGCATACTATAAAAGTCAGCATATGGTGTGGCTAGAACTGGGGATTTTAATATCAATCACTGGAAGCATTTTAAAAATCATTCTACTTATTTTGATGCCATGTGACTTAAATTCGACCCTCATATGCACAGTATGATATAATTTCCTGGAAAAAAAACCATTTATACAATTGTATTACCTTCTCTGAACTTAAAACAAAGCAATTATTCCAACGGTCTAAAACCAATTAAACATTATCTTAATACATTATAGCTGTTTCTGAGCATTTTTTAAAAATATAGAAGTTTGTACTTCAGCTCAATGTGACAACTGAAAGGTTGGAAATTTGACTTGTTTGCAAATGCAAACATTTCAAATGATCAAGGATCTATTCATGCTAGGTCACGAAAGCTGACTCACAGTGACAGAGGAACTATTTGAAGTGCTTTTGAGTAAATATTTGAAATTTTTCCATGGAGAGAGAGACATGTGATCAAAGTAAAAGAAATGGTGGAATGATACATTCATGGAGATTCCCCTTATTTCAGATTCTCCTTCACAGACGAAACATAATAATTGTATTTTTCTAAGGATTTACCTGCCTCTCACTGACATTCTTGCACTCTTTGCAAACAATCTGATTAACTAATGTCCCATGGTACAGTTGGTTTATAAGATTGTGGCCAGAGGTTCCCACTAAGGAAGTTTCTAAAGCACTGAACAAAATCCGATTTAACTCCTGTACATCATGCTGTCTCATTTCCTGCAAGAAAAGGAGAGCAAACAAAACTTAGCACCACCCTAGTGTAAAAAAAAAAAATGGAAGAAACTATAGTACTGAAGTGGGAGATATTACACTTTACATAAATCAAAGAAACCCCACTGAGCATTGAACAATGAATACTATATTGTACCTCATTACAATTCCACCCAAAGCTGTCAGTGAGATCGGCTGTGGATGCAGCATGTTGATCTAAAAGCAAAAGCTGTGCAAACAATCTTTGTAGCTGTAAGGGGATTACTCTAACCTAAAAAGAAATGACAACATGCTTTTAAATATACTTTAAAGATAGAAAATACATTTAATTTATTTGAAGTGAATCAACAGTCATCTAAAATCTAGAACCCAAATCTACACAAAAGAAAACGCTATTAAACTTCCACTCATTTTATTGAGATTTTTTAAAAAGAATATATCTCTTCCCAACGTTTGTTTGAGGTCAATGTATTCAATAAACTCTACTTTTTGTTCATATTCTATAGTTAGATGAAATATATTGTTCTTTAAAGTATGACCTCTCCGTAAGGTCTCCTTATATAAAACTATAAAAATCAAAATGAAATACATAAACTAGTGAAAGACTGTAGCTGTAGAAAAGGAGTCAAACTTATTTAAAGGTAATTTTCTTCTTAAAAATAAAAAGGCAGGAAAGAAACACAGTCACTCCTGCGGTCTACTTAAGCACTTGCAGGGCAAGGCGTCCCTGGTAAGGATGTCTCACTGCACAGCAATTTTACATTCAGAGGGACAAACCTGGAAAGCAGCCTGGCCACATAAACCACTACTTCACCTTTGGCATGTCACAATCTCTTGCCCAGAAAATTCCATGGTCAATTCATCTTAATATCTCCAGAAACAAGAAATAACTTGAAAGCATGCAATATTAGCAGTCCATTATTTAAGAAGCCTTCACAAAAGAGCTGCATCAAACACTCTTAAGACTATACTGTATAGAAAATAGCAATAATTATTCAAAACAGGGATTGCATCACTATAAATCTTTCTGATGCCTAATAGGGGATTCTAAAAATCATCCTGAAAATACTGCACAAGTACCAAAAATGAAAGATCCCTGTTCTGTGGCTCAGGCGAACATGTGAAGTAAAATGCATTTCCCAATAGCAAGATTTTTTATTCTTTATGCAGTGGTTGAAGTTGAGAATATTTCAAATAGAACTCAACACCTTTGATTCAGGTTTATGTGTGTCCTCCAGGGAGCCAAGTTCTTCGGGGCCTATGGAAAACAATGCTTCTGGAAAATAAAGAGAAATAGACTCACTGAATCAATTGGATTTCCCCCGGTGTTGATTTACCATTCAATAACTGAGTGAACGTACCATAACTAGGAATAACCAACAGGATGCCAGTCCCAAATTACAGTAAGCTAGGCTAGCTGTATAAAGTTTGCCTGAATAAAAAGACCTCTCAAAGGGAGATGACCCTTGCTCTGTAAGCAGTTCCATAGCCTACGAACAACTAAGAACGACCTCTCATGTTCACAAGAAATATGCCACCGAGGTTGCACCTGCATTGTAGAATTAATGCAATTAATGCAAAAATTGTAGAATTAATGCAATTTGATATCACTTGAATTGCCATTCTTTAATGCTATGAAATCCTGGGAGTTTAGCAAGACACCAGCCCTCTTGTGCAAAAAGGGGCATGACCTTGTAAATTACAACATCCTGAGTAATCCAACTATTCTGCAGGCTCAAACAGGATAATAATGTTTCTTCATAGTGTTTTTATCTATTTCCCAGAACAATAAAACAGGTAAATAAACAATAAAGGCCATATCTGTGCCTTTGTTGTTGCTCCTTACACGATCCAACAGCATATTTTAACTTTAATACGGTGAGAATGTTTTTTCTAAAAGATCTGAAACAATATGAAAAGGGCAGTTTGAATGGGGTTGAAGCAAACAGTTCATGCATTGGTAGAGAAATGTGTATTTCTATATAATTTGGCATAATGCAAAAGTGTAGGTTTTTGAGAAAGAGCCTACAATTTGGAGAACTGGGTTTGCATTCTCACTTGGCCATGTAAATCCACCGGGTGACCTTGAGTGATTCTCAGCTCCAGAATCATAGAGTGGGAAGAGACCTTGTGGGCCATCCAGTCCAACCCCCTGCCAAGAAGCAGGAAACTTGCATTCAAAGAAAACCCTGTGATAGGCTTGTTTTGGGGTCTCCACAAGCGAGAAACGAATCTGAAGGCACGTCACCACCATAACAACAATGATAAAGAAACAGGGGAGAAATGTTATCCAAGGGCCAAAAAGATGGCGACGAGCTGTGCACTAAGAAGAAGAAGCTTGAAATCAAACCAGGATGAAATGACATACACTGTTATATATACAGGGTTATTACAAAAGGATGTCCCAATTTCAAAAATTAGTGGTAAACATATCAGTGGATAAACACATAAGAAATCTATATAAATATGAAGGGGAAGTCTTCAAGTTTTTCTTCACACTCAAAACATTTTCAATATGGCTACAACCAGTCACGCAGGACACATCTAAACAGTAGTCAAGCTCCTGCCATGCACACTGCAACATGTCGCGGTCAATGGCACCCACAGCTCGGGTGACATCTTCTTGCACAAATAGACCGTTTTGTTAAATTGTGTCAACTAGCATCTAATCGCATCTCCATCTGAAACCACTTTCTGATAGTACGTTCTAAATGCCCACTGCATAATAATTACAGACTTTGTGCTTCGTAACTGCAGGACACAGAACACCTTCCTGCTGGGTTGCAGCCATTTTGCACTGCTGGATCCACGAAAGCTGCCTGGTGGCCACTCGTGTAAATACTTCATCCGAGGTGCATGTATGAGAGTGGAAAAAAACTTGAAGACTTTCTCTTCACATTGATGTAGATTTCATACATGTGCAGGAAATTTGTTATCTTCTAAGAAACTGGAGTTTTAAAAAAACAAACAAACCCTGGGTTTATTCTGTTGTTTTGGGAGGAAAACAAATTAGAGAAAGGAAACTGTCTGTATTGTAAACAAATACCAAATAATAATCATTTGTTAAACTGTATAAAAATATTTGGACCCATCTAAATATATACCTCTAAGATATACAACTGTTCAACTTTATAGTACTACAAGACTCTTTTTTGTTTTCACCAAGGACTTTATATCTTTAATTCTTATTTACAATCCTTAGCCTGCAATCAATTCCAAAGGCTAAAAAATATATACACAAAGTAAAAGGCGAAAGATTTATACGATCTGAAGAGAAACCAGAGTATGTCTGTGGTATGTGTGTAAAATGCCATGTGATGATTTACTGAATGTTATGGGAAAAAATTAATACAAAGCGCTGACGGAAAGCAGTGGAAAACAGGCAGAAATAGCAAGTCTATGTGTATTAAGATATGTAAATGATAATAATTTGCACTTAATGACAAAATTAACTGATTGACTGAATAAGGTAGATAGGCATGTACTCGTCAAAAATATTGGTGCCTGATTATATCTGCCATGATTTGCTTTTCTGTTATGTTCCATAATCAAAATAAACAGTTTTAACACAAATATATATATATATATACAAGATATTTTTTTCTTATTCCCTTCTGAGTTCAATGAATGACAAACTAATCTCAATTACTTTGTATAAATCTGGAATTTAGATATTAAGAGTTAAGTTTAATACTATACCTCTAAATTCTGGTGTGAAGTGCAGAGTTTGAAGAAGTGAATTAAGGTAGCAGGTCCCACCCTGATTTTTTATTCCACTTAAATTTGTGTTTTCTCTAGGATTTGGTAGTTCAGGATCTTTGTGTTTCAATTTAGGCTTCCCACACTGATTGCTTGACAAAACGGAGATGTCTTCATCAAATAAATCCCCAAACATTGTGAATTTATGACACAGCCCTTGAAAAAAAAATTAAAAATAGTTAATTGTTGCAGCATTTTGTGTTTTCATCAAATAGGTTATGCTACTACCATAAGAGAAAGGAAATTCCAGAGCTGAGTGAGGCTTAACTCTGAACAGACATGTACAGGATTACATATTCTATATATTCTATGAGTTAAACACCAGGGAATTAAAGGTTAACCTGTCAGCGACTACAGACATATATATTTACTCCTAAATAGACGATTTCAAAATCTTTTCACACCTTACCACTTGGCCTGACTCCACAGGCCTATTCACACTGTGAAATTATAGTGCTATTATTCCACTGCCATGATTTCATGAGATGCTGGGATAGGCTATCGAGGGAAAGAACTTTGATATCTTCAGTCAAGAGACTATTCCTCTGGTGTCCCTGACCAAACTACCCAACTCCAGGGGACTCCAAAGGAGGAAGGCATAAGGGTTAAAGGGAAATCTGTGTTGTGCCCCGCCTTGAGGAGAGGCAATTATTATAATAATAACTCTACAACTGATCAGATGCCATTCCCAATGAAGATATGGTTGCCACACTGCATTGCCATTCCTGGGGCTTCCGGTCACTGTGGGAATGATCCACCTTTGGATCTACGGGCTGTTAGGAATTGTGAGAGTTGAAGTCCAAAACACCTGGAAAGCCCAAGTTTGCCCATACTTGTACTATACACTCAATTTCTGACCCAATTCCCACAAAAGACTACTATTCCATTTTAGAGAGTTGTAGGATTCCGAGAGTTGTAGTCCAGAAAATACCTAGAATTCCTCCTTCAGGTGAGTTAAGTATCTATCATAAGAAACAGAGGATGTACAAGAGCTACCTGACTGAAAGCTGTAGAGAGGTCCTATAACTTTTAATGCTAGTGTAGAAAAGCGTCTAAATATCCTAAAGCATCCTCAACCTACGGTCCTCCAGCTGTGTGGGCCTCCAACTACCAGAAGCCCTAGCAGGCATCCTCTTGCGACAGAAGAGCCTTCCAATGCCAGATAATCTGGGATAAGAAGATAATCTGGGATCAGATCCTGGGATATAGGACCAGTGTGGAAGGGCCTTGAGTCTTCGGGCTCTTCCACACAGTCCTATAACCCAAAATATCAAGGCAGATAAACCACAATATCTGCTTTGAACTGGGTTATCTGAGTCCACATTGCCATATATTCCAGTCAGATATGGATTTTATACAGCTGTGTAGAAGGGCCCTTCCTTGCCAAAGAAAACCCTGAGAGATCCTAAGGTTTTGTAGAAAAGCGCCTAAATATCCTAAAGCAGGCATCCTCAACCTACGGTCCTCCAGCTGTGTGGGCCTCCAACTATCAGAAGCCCTAGCAGGCATCCTCTTGTGACAGAAGAGCCCTCCGTTGCCAGATATTCTGGGATAAGATATAATCCAGATTATCAAAGCAGATAATCCACATTATTGGCTTTGGATTACAAGAGTCCCCAGTGCTATATAATCCAATTCAGAGCAGATAATCTGGATTTCATATGACTGTGTAGATGAGGCTGTTTCATAATCCAGATTATCAAAGCAGATAATCCATATTATCTGATTTGAAATGGATTATCTAAGTCTACACTGCCACATAAGAACTGACCATGGAACAACAGACTGGTTCAAGATTGGGAAAGGCGTACGGCAGGGTTGTATACTCTCACCCAACCTATTCAACTTGTATGCAGAACACATCATGCGATGTGCGGGGCTTGACGAATGCAAGACTGGGGTGAAAATTGCTGGAAGAAACATTAACAACCTTAGATGTGCAGATGACACCACTTTGATGGCCAAAATTGAGGAGGAGCTGAGGAACCTTCTAATCAAGGTAAAAGAAGAAAGTGCAAAAGCTGGGTTGCACCTAAACATTAAAAAACACAAGATTATGGCAACAAGAATGACAACTGGGAAATAGAGGGAGAAAACATGGAGGCCGTGACAGCCTTTTATTTCTAGGTGCAAAGATTACTGCAGACACAGACTGCAGCCAGGAAATCAGGAGATGCTTACTTCTTGGGAGGAGAGCAGTGACCAATCTCGATAAAATAGTGAAGAGCAGAGACATCACACTGGCAACCAAGATCTGCATAGGTAAAGCAATGCTATTCCCCATAGTCACCTACGGATGTGAGAACTGGACCATAGGGAAGGCTGAGCGAAGGAAGATAGATGCTT